GCATAACCAGGAGCCTAGAACTTCATGTGGTCTCCCACGTGGGTGGCAGGGGCCCAAGTACCTGGGCCATCCTCTGCTGCTTTCCCAGGCTCATTAGCAGGGAGCTGGTTGGGAAGTGGAGTAGCTGGAGATGCCTGCACTGCAGGTGACAGCTTAGCCCTCTGTACCAGGACAAGTACCACAACCTGAATTTTAAATTCAAAAGCATTTGCCACAGTGTTCTAAAGCCTAATAAACATAGCAGTGTTTAAGAAGGCAGTCCACATAAAACAGGACTTATCAAAGGCAATCTATTGGTCTTATTTTAAAGTATTATTTAAAAAATTTGATTTGACCATTTTTGGCATAGCTCAGTTGACCACATAAGAAACTGGAGAACATTTCATTTTTCTGATTGTTGTGTGTTAAGGGGCTGGCATTTCAGACAGGTTGATCAGGATGATTTGCATGTGCGTGTGTTGGGGGTGTGGTAAATGCTATTGAAATTTTATCATTCTTCTTTTTTTTTTTTTAAATTTTTTGACAGGCAGAGTAGACAGTGAGAGAGAGACAGAGAGAAAGGTCTTCCTTTGCCGTTGGTTCACCCTCCAATGGCCGCCACGGCCGGCACACTGCGCTGATCCGATGGCAGGAACCAGGTACTTATCCTGGTCTCCCATGGGGTGCAGGGCCCAAGTATTTGGGCCATCCTCCACTGCACTCCCTGGCCACAGCAGAGAGCTGGCCTGGAAGAGGGGCAACCGGGACAGAATCCGGCGCCCCGACCGGGACTAGAACCTGGTGTACCGGCGCCGCTAGGCGGAGGATTAGCCTATTGAGCCACGGCGCCAGCCTCATTATTATTCTTTATAAAAGATGATGCAAGGTTCATGAGAATCTTAACCTTATATAGAACATAGCATCTATTCATTGGGGAAAAAAATGAGTATTTAGAAGGGAAATTTCTGCTTTTCTAATGTGATTCCTATTACTATTGTGTTTGACTACTTCATGAACCAAAAGGACAGTGAGTCCTTTGCCTGTTGCCGTTATTATTTTGCCCACAAAAGAGAGGAGCCATTCATAAGCAGCCCAAAAAAATAATGAACCCCAAGCTCTAAGAGGTATCAGAGACTACATAAATTGAGCTGTTGCCCGAAAGTGTGCCGATGGCTGGACTGAAAAAAATCATTACACTAATGGGTTGCAGAGCAAAGGGTGGAGTGGAAGTGGTAATTCTAGCTCAGGATCGTCTTTAGAACGTCATGAGCTGGGGTTGTGATGGTGAGGATAGTTTTCTGTGATGATAGGTCCATCTTCCGGAGGCCCACTTGACCTTGGAGATGATTGAGCTAATTATCTGTCAGGCTGAAAGTGGAGCATAGGAAGCTCCTAAATAAATGATGTTGCTGAGAGGGAAGATTTTCCTTTCCCTGGCCAAGTAGGCAAACTGGTTCAGAAGGAAGGTCAGCTACACAGGAACTCTCATCGACAGCGTTGCTGAGATGGAAGGCAACTAGCAGTCAAGCTTCGCCTCATCTTTCTGCAATCCTGCATACCTTTGTTACAGTTTTGCCAGTGAAGCGTGCCTGTCTGAAATTACTGAATGAACCGCGAGATGCTGGAGAAAATAACTTCCAAATGATCAAAGTGGCTTGAATATCTCCCTTTAGCTCATTTTGCAGAGAAGTTCCTGTCTTTTGGGAGCACGTGCAAGGCCTTTCCATTACTGCAGCCAGATTTGGTATTCCCTGAGGAGCACAGCAGGTACAGATCTCTTGCCTGCTTTAAGTGCCGCAGTGCCTTGCACTGACTCCCCTTGTTCCATTATGTTCTAGCTCTGTGCTCTTGGAAGTTCCTTCACATTTCTTCATTTCAGTTTTCTCATCTGTATCCCTGAGGCTAATAATACTTCACAGGGCTACTGTATGCATGAAATTAACGATATTCCCTAGGTGAAAGAACTAAACACAGTTGTATCCAGAGGCTCTATAAAGGATGTGTTCTCTTCCTTACTGAACATATACACAGCAACCACAGACATCCATGGAAGATGCTTATGTCAACTAATGTCAGAAAGGATGCCCATGTAAATTTAATCAGGCAAGTAAGTCAATATACCATTGAAGAAATTACACTTTATTTTCTGCTTTCACAGCTCTGCGACTGGTTTTGACAGGGTTCTACCATGCATTATCATATTTGTCTAAGTAATTGAGTGTGAATAGAAAAAGAATTGCAATTAAAAATAGCATTAAATGGGGGGGGGCAAAGAGTTTACTAGAGAGAAGCAAAACATTATTAAGATGCATTGCTCTTTTCCATTCCAAAGGATTCAACTGGGAAGATTCCAAATTATAATGATTGATGAGAAATGTTTTTATTCATCAGCTCAGAAAGAAATCATCCATAAATATATGGAAAAGATATGGAATCTTGCTTTTTCAGACCCAAAGAACTTTGCTGAATGTCAAATTCAAAAGTTCTGTTCTGAATGGAAAAGTGCAGGTCAGATGAAAGGGAGAGTGCTTCTTTCTAAAAATAATTCCAATAGCTTACCTTTTGCCAACAGCCAGGCATGGGTAATCCATCTGGCCCCTGTTGGAAAGAGAAGAGAAAGCTTCTCAGGCCCTACAAGAGTGAGCAAACTTCCTCGTACACATGCTCAGTAATTAAAAAATAGATTTCTGTTGGGCGGCTTTTGTCATAGACATCTTTTACTAATCAGCAAGTGCCGATGTATTATCCAGTGTTAGTTTAAAATGGGGCCAATTGCAATATTTTCCAGAGTACACTTTGTGAAAGTACATAAAGTATAGAAAAAGCTATGCCTAGTTTTGCAAAAGCAATTTATAAAAAGCAAAGTGATATACTCACAGCTATACTGTTAGATAACAAATCCATACTGTACCTCTTAATTTCATTAACACATCATTCACAATTATCTTTATTAAATAAATCAAAATAACTTCTCCTGATCACTATGGATTATGGGTGAATGCATGATAATGCTGAATAATCAGTGATGAACCATTTCTATCTGAAGTTCATAGCTCTTCACATACCAATGTTTTTCACTTTTTCTACATTGAAAGTAGACAGATTAGAACATAATTAATTGAATTAAAAGACAGGCAGCTTATCTATATTTTACAATAAACTGTTATCCATAGCATTCATCCATGTTTCTATTCATATTCTTTGGAGTTCAACTAACAAATTCTAGAGAAAATAATGTGTTCCTAAATGTTACAAAAATTTAACTGAGCATTCTTCAGATACAAATGATACAAATCAGGCAGGAAGAGTTGGTATATTATGAAGGCATGCTTGTATTTTCCCCCAATAAAGTGATTATAAAATACAATTTATCAACAATACAAGCAGACAAAATAAAACACTAGGTACTTCATATTAAGATTTTTTAACCATAATTATTGACTAACATTTTTTATAAATACATTCTCTTTAAAGATTTGAGAAATATAAATTTGTCTTTAAAGACCCATGCTGATAACTGAAGAATAATTTAAGAACATGCAGAAAAAGTACAACTATCAACACAACCACTACATTTTTTAAAATTTAAACCTAAGAAATGATGAGAGATTTCCTTCTTAAATGTAAAAAAATAATTTGAAATAGCTTTATAAAATATTTGGGAAAAACTCAGTAATGCCAGATTGGTACAAGGAGAAGGATCAACCAGAAGAATTTTAGATTTTAGTATAAGGAGGATTTTGAGTTCATGCTAATGGAGATAAGGGAGTTCTGTCTACTGAGGAAAGTGAGTTTCAAAAGGAGAGACCATTAAATTGAAACGGTTATGGGACAAAGAAGAGGGCTTGGGCTGCAGACTATTATCATCTTCAGAAGTGCAGAGGAGTTCGGTTTTTCCCCCTATGGTCTCTGGATAGCATTCCCTTGAACTAGTTAACTCTTGACCACAGAAGTAAATTCTGCAGGTCTGGCCCAATTTACAGCCTGATAGAAATTTAATGGAAGAGACAAAAATACCTCTCTTTATTTTAGAGAAAAAGAAAAAAAAAGTTAAACATACAACCAAAAGTTATGGCCTAGCAATGCCTTTGCATCCAATATTTTCATAGAATTTCAGCATAATATTTAAATGTTTATTGGCTATATTAATAGTCTAAAGAACACAGATGCGGCGGTCGTGTCAGTCATGAGGATCATGCCAGGGGATTAGTTTGCAGCATGGATAGAAGCTCGTGCCTGCTCTCTTCCCTGGAGGGAGGAGCCTGTTCATGCGCATGCATGCAGTGCGTGTATCGTGTGAAGCTTGCTGTGAAAGCACCACTTTACAATGGACGGAAATGAGTAGATCATAAGCAAAGGAACTGCATGCAGGGTGGTAGGAAAGAGAAATACTGTACCAATTGGCAAGGGGCATCCAGCCCATCCAGGCCAGGCTGGCCTGGCTCCCCTTTTTCCCCCTTAACGCCACGGAATCCCTGTTTGTAAAGATTAACTCATAACGTTACTAACACAAGAATTCATTTCAACACAAATTCTGCTAAAGAAAGAACTACAATAAAGGCTGGGAGAGGAGCAAGTCTGAAGGGAAATGTAGCATCTAATGAAGGTGGACCAATACAGTGGAGCTGGGCATGTCTGGAAACGGTGGTCTTTTCTTTTGAGGGACGTGGAATGGCACCAGTTCCTCTTGAGATCCAATCTTCGGAATCCAGTGGCACAGTGACCGGTTAAGATACCAGGCTGAGCCAGTGGTCAGAGACAAGATGTGCAGTGGGTGGGGAAAACCCGAGACAGATGCTCTAGTACCTCAAAGTCCAAGTTAAATGACCCCAATATGAGACCCCAGTGTTATGGGCCCCTTCAGCCTGCTCCTCTCCCGTGGCCTCCCCTCACACAGGACTGGAGACGGTTCCATGAGTCAGACATACCAACGGGCAGGGTGCATCTAATCCAGGAGCACCCTGTTCTCCTTTCTCCCCTTTAGGCCCCTTTTTGCCTTTCTTTCCCTTTTCCCCCTGTGGATACAAGGGTTTAAATGAAAGACAGGTTTTATTTGGGGGTTGGGGGTGGACATAAAGGTGATTCAAAAGGTGGTTTAGCTAAGGAAAGTCTGGGAGGGCATTTACCACTGTTTCATGGTTTAGGTAAGGCATGATACCATAGCAAATGACAGATCCTTTCAGAGTGACAGTGGACTGCAGGCAGAGGTGTATGGGATTCTATTTAAGATACTCAGCAAGATGAAAGAAAGTGACCCAAAAGGATAATATATCAGAAAGGCAGACTGGTGCTGACTTGGACCACACTGTCACAGTCACTGCGGATCAAGGGCTTGTGTGACGGATCTGGTGAGGGCGACAGGCACCAATTGTACTGAACCCACTCCGTGGCAGGTGGAGCTCAGGCAAACAATGCATGCCTCACCCAATTTTTAATTCCTGTCAACTTGCTGTGTGTGTTTTTTTTTTTTTTTAACTAATCCTGTAACAGATCAAAGCTACCTTGAACCAGAGGACAAGAACAGATATTCACAGCTTCTACACCTTTGAGACAGAGCCAACTTATTTCATGTAAGTTCTCCTTACAAAATATTCAATGTATTTTAGGCATGCTTCTGTTTCCTTTAACATTCTTTTCTGCAAAAATAAAAGCAAATACTCTCCTTATTAATCCAGGTAAACAAATGTTCAAAGTGCTAATACTTTGCAGCAATGCCAATTGGAGAAATGCTTATTTATAAACCTCAGGATCTTCTTTAATTCACTTCTCTTATTGATCTCATGCCAGGTGTTTACAGTGGTAAATGAGTTTCCAGCTTACAATGTAATAAAAGCCAAAAATGAAAAAAAAATCTGTTCAAGGAGGGGAAACAGTTTGGACTCAGTGAAAATGAAGTAGGCAGGATGATTACATAGTGGAATGTAGCCATGGACATTAGTATTTAGGAATCAAGGTAAAGGCTGTGGGAAATCTGCATGGATCACAGGGATGGAGGAATTTAGGAAAGGAGGCAAAAGGAGGAGAAGGAAGGAATGCACCTCAGCTGTTTCACATTAGCAGAAGTACCTCTACAAATTTAGAGACAGGGAGATGGTGCTGTGCAAAATATGGAATACAACATAGTACAAATTTAAATTAGTGTTCATTCTGAAATAGGATGGCAGTTATAATAACACTGAACACCTGCTGAAGCCAAACAACATGAATAGTCAAAGGTGAAAAGACATATACATAACAGCAATATATGAGACACATTCACAATTAATAGTTCACTCTAACAGCATGAGTAAAAGCTCCTTGTTTATCTCCTGTGCGCCAAAAAGATTGCATCACAAGGTGCAGAATCAAACAATTGGCCTTCCTGAATACTGGGGAAGTAGAGAAAGTCTGTGTGACTTAATTGATCCTGATCAAGATAAAGACACAAGAATCCAGGATGAAATGAGAGCAGGCATGACAGGAAGTGAGACAGGAGGAAAATTTGGGTATAAGTTGTTCATGTAAGCAACATGAATCAATATCCTTCCTAGCAAAATAACTTCAATATCATGACATAAAACGGATGTAATCTTGTTTGAGTGAGCTTTTCCCTCCCAGAAGGCAATGGACTCTTTTTCATGTAGGTGTGACTGAGACCATGTGTGTTGGGTATTAATTTAGAATTCAATTCATTTATTATTTGAAATGTAAATCAGCTCAGATTAACCAGTCCCTAGAAAAGAGTCATTTTATGACTACGGACATCATTGTTCACTAGTATTTATAGTGAACCTCAAGTTTGAAAGAGAAGAGATACTACTGTACAAATAAGAAGGTACCAATGTTATTATTCACCAGCATTATTTTATAATATGAAGTGATCACCCATGCAATAGAAAACCATCCGTCACTGGGGATCTGAGCACATGAGGGCTCTTGCTGATTTTTATTTCTCATGTCCAAGAATGATACATATATAATTTTCACATTTAGAATCCAACTTTCCTGGGACTGGTGCTGTGGCGCAGTGGGTTAATGCCCTGGCCCAAAGCACCAGCATCCCATATGGGCGCCAGTTCGAGACCCGGCTGCTGCACTTCCAATCCAGCTCCCTGCTAATGACCTGGGAAAAGCAGTGGAAGATGGCCCAAGTTCTTGGGCCTTTGCTGCCCATGTGGGAGACCTGGATGAAGTTTCTGGTTCCCACCTTTGGCTTCACTCAACCTTGGCCATTGCAGCCATGTGGGGAGTGAATCAGCAAATGGAATATTTTCTCTCTCTATCTCTCTCTCTCTTTCTGTCTCTCTTTCTCTTTCTTTCTGTCTCTCCCTCTCTGTAGCTCTGACTTTCAAATAAATAAATCTTTTTTTAAAAAGTATGTTGTTAAAGACAGCAGGATGCTGTCTAATCTGTCTAATCTGAGAAATATACTAGGTTTAAATTTGGATTGTAAATATTTAATTTCAACTGCTTTAAGATTTTTACTAGTCTGTTGAGGGATTGAGTTTTTGTTTGCTTGATCTGCTCTGTCCAATGAAGAAACTTCTTTTTAGGTATATTATCAGGTCAAATGTTCAAGCAAAGTAGAGAGGGAAAAAAAAAAAGACATAAAGAAAAGAATAATGGAGAGGAAAGGGAAGAAGTGATTTTTAAAATCTATAATCCAAACTTGCCTTTGCTTAACAAAGGCTCCTATCTATTCTGGAGGTGATGGCACTAAAATACAGCCTCAACATCAACCTCCTAAAATACACAAACATCTTCATGTAAATAATCCACAGCATCCAGCTCCAAATCTGAAGGCAGCAAGTTCTAGTCCTGTGCAATGGATGTTCTGTGCTTGGTCCACTGCACTGCTTATCCTACACTAAAAAGAACCAAGACACATTTCTCTGTTTCTTTACTGGGAATGATGTGACAATCAATGAGATGCTGGCTTTACTGTGTTAGATGGGCTCTGCCAAAATATCAGATTTGTGCTATTTGAAACTTTCTCAATAACCCCAGGATATCATATTTTTCAAAGAATTGGCATCAGGTAACTGAAAGACTATAGCTTGGATATCTGGGGATATTTTTTCTCCTATGCTAGACAGTCCCCTGATTTCCAGCAGTGCTGCCGACTTCATTTGGCTAAGGCCTGAATCCTCGGATGAGGCATCAGTGGGTTTTTGGAGCACAGGATAGGGATGAACTAGGCATGAGAAGGAATCACACAGGTGCAGCAGCAAAGCAGACAGCGTGAGAAGAGTCACACAGGCACATGCTGGCAGGGAGGTCACCTTTTCTCCCTTTTCTCCTAGGTCGCCCTTCTCGCCCCGTGGACCAGGGAAGCCCTGGGGGATAAAAAGCAAACCCAGGAGATATTTGGTGTTAAGTATGGCAAAGTCATATGAAAATAATAAAAACAAAAAACTCTTAGGATTTCATGTGTCTAAACAAAATGAAAAATGGCATGCCAGATAATCTTAAGACAGGTAGATTAACACTCAGAAATAATAGTTTTTTAACATCTCACTTTTCTAGACACCACAGGTATCCTGTTTTTCTTCTATGGAAAGCAGAGTGGAATGAATCCCAGGATACAACCTTGAATCCTGGAAAGTTCACTGATTTGTATGGGTTTGGATCAATCACCTCTGTGCTTTGATCCACTGATTGTCAAATGGGGTTAAGGATATCTGCTGCACAGAGATTGTCAATGTTAAATGAGATGATGTGCACACCAGAGGGATGTCTACACGTAGCAGGTGCTCAGTAGATAGTAATGTTATGATTTCTGCTACTATCATTATTCACATAATAGAAGCTGAGCAGCGAACGTTTCTAGATGCTTGTGCTTTCGACAGTCTCTATTTTTATAGAATTATGCTAGCATCAGACATGTAGGAACTCACTGTTAAAAATAAAAAATATTGCATGATAGCTTTGAAAAAAAAACATAATAGGGGCTGGCACTGTGGCACAGAGGGTTAATGCCCTGGCCTGAAGTGCCAGCATCCCATATGGCTGCTGGTTCGAGACCTGGCTGCTCCACTTCCCATCCAGCTCTCTTCTGTGGCCTGGGAAAGCAGTAAAAGATGGTCCAAATACTTGGGCCCCTGCACCTGTGTGGGAGACCCAGAAGAAGCTCCTGGCTCCTGGCTTCGGATTGGCACAGCTCTGGCTGTTGTGGCCAATTGAGGAGTGAACCATCAGATGGAAGACCTCTTTTTCCCTCTCCCTCCCTCTCTCTCCCTCTCTCTCTCTCTGCCTCTCCTCTCTCTGTGTGTAACTCTTTCAAATAAATAAATAAATCTAAAAAAAAGGATACTGATTTAACTTCCTTAAAAAAAAAAGAAAAACATAATCGACCATTCCCTGAGGATACTATGTGAGAGGTATATTGATTTTATGCATATTTTTCCATGCTCTTGTCAGGAGTATCCTTAATTTGGGAAAGGATTTTGAAGGGCCACTATCCACTGTCAGTTGTTAATTTTATACTCGATAATGATGTTTTTGCTTTTATATTCATCTATATTTTACATTGCTATCTACATGCACAGCAATGTATGCTCTGTGCACAACTGTATGTGCAATAAAAAGAGGAAGTATTCTTGCTGTTCTTGATGATGGAGACCATCAGCATCTATTATGATAAGAAGTTGTTTACTGTAAGTATTACTTACATCAAGACCAGGCTCTCCATCTTTCCCCTGCCAAAGAACCATAGTAGCTACATTAGTGTCCCTAAGTTTGATGAAGAGGTTATTGCTTTATCTAAGGGTGCTTGGACATGCAACACTAGCATTAGAATACTGCTTCAGAAACGTGAAGAGGATGCTCCGTTAGCAGCACAAGTTTCTTTCAGGCAAATGAAGTGACTGCTAACTGTTACAGCTAAGGATGGTGAGAACTTTCAGTTATGTATCAGGCTAAACAGAGTGATATTAGCTGGAGTTTAATGCCTGGTATCCAAGTTATTCATCCAGAAGTGGAATTGAAAGCAAAAATCATACTGTTTAGTTGATGCAAAAACACACCAGCATTCGTGAAGTATGGGAACCAATGCTACTGTAATTTGACAGAGCTAGTAGTTAGCTCATAAATGAGTAAAGAATGTGAACACTTTATTGTTAAAATGTAGTGTTAATTTGGCCAGATGTGCACGTTGAATATAAGTATTAAGGGTGTGAAAGTCACAACTAAAGAGCTGTTTGTAAGTAAGCTTTGTCAGTGAAGGATCCCCAGATAGAAAAGGAGTCATAATACTGTCATGCAAGGATGATAAATTCACACCCACAGCACAGGTTAGCAGGGGGACAACCCTACACTGTTACCCTGGGTTGCCACCCTCTGTTCCAGAAAGACTGCTTTGATCTGTCAATTTCAAAATCAGTGTCCTTTTTTTAGCATCAATATAATCATGGTTTAAGCATAGCATTTTTAGTTCATAAGATGAATGTGAAAGATATGGGGAGGTTAAAACCCTTAATATGACATTTTTCTCTGTAGTCCTACCACATTCAACTGATCCAATGATAATTATTGCACAGATGTGTTTGAAGCCAGTCTCAGGTCTCAGTTTGATTCAGCACAGTTAAGAATTTTCAAGAAGTTGGAACACTATCAACGTTCTATGTTCTGGATGTTATTTGTCAATTACAGCAGCTTAGAAAGGTCAGAAATATCATGGCACCATATATATCTATCTAATTGGGGGAATAATTTTTACTAGCAGGAATAGTTTTAGCAAATAACCGTTGAGTACAGATGAAGTCTGAAGAAGGTTGTTTTAAATGAAGTTTTCACACCCACTTTAGATAACAGTGACCCTTCCAGGAAGTGCCAGTTATGCCAAAATCCTGCTTTCAGCTCTCTGCTGTTTCTCTTACAGTCTCTGATCCTGTTGTGAAGGGCGTGGGTATGTCTGGATGTGAGGAGAGGGACACTGAATGAGGCCTAGCTTTTAAGGACACGAAACTAACAGTACTGTACATAATCAGTGAAATGTCTTTGCTCCTCTATTGTGATTAGTTTGCACACAGGGGAAACCATAGCAGTGACAGGTCATGGATGCATGCTATAGGTGGTAACTGCTCACGTGACCGTCAACTCACAGGTAGGCCGTAGGGCCCTCTGGGTCCAGGCTCTCCCATAGCTCCTTTTTCACCCTGAAATTCAAAGTAGAAAGTTGAAATGATACATGCACATCTATATTCACAGTTTTTTTTCTACATAAGAACCAGCCTATCAAATAATAATACATGTTCTTGCCAGAATTATTTTCATGATTCAATGTGATTGTAACATATGAATTGTATGCTGGCAACCGGTGGTGCCATAAATAGCAGTGATTATTAGTGTTATACAATGAGAGTTCTTGCTTTTAATGAAAAGGGCGTGGCAACCTAAACACCATTAATTCAAAATCAGTTTCTTTCCATTTGATCTGAAAGTGTTGCTGTGAGGTGGGTGTGTGCACTTGAACGTGCACGTACGCAAGTAGTAGGAGGTGGCACTTTAAAGTGAGGGTTAGCGGGGCTGGCGCTGTGGTGCAGCAGGTTAATACCCTGGCCTGAAGCGCCAGCATCCCATGTGGGCGCCGGTTCTAGTCCCGGCTGCTCCACTTCTGATCCAGCTCTCTGCTATGGCCTGGGAAAGCAGTAGAAGATGGGCCAAGTCCTTGAGCCCCTGAACCCGTGTGGGAGACCTGGAGGAAGCTCCTAGCTCCTGGCTTTGGATTGGCGCAGCTCCGGCTATTGTGGCCAATTGGGGAGTGAGCTATCGGATGGAAGACTTCTTTCCCTCTCTTTCTCTCTCTCTCTCTGTCTCTCCTCTCTGTGTAACTCTTTCAAATAAAAATAAATATTAAAAAAAAAAAACAAGAAAAGTTATTTCAAAAAAAAGAAAGAGTGAGGGTTCACATAAACCAGCACAAATGTACTTTGCAATAACTCCACAGAATACAGCAGGTTCAGTTTTAAAAATATTCACAGGTAATTTTAGTATAACTATTTCTTTCCCCTTCCTTTAACAGAGAACCTTGCCTTTGCTTTGTTTTAAAATTTACTTATGTATTTGAAAGGGATAGAGAAGGGGAGGGGCAGGGGGAGAGGGAAGGGGAGAGAGAAGGGGGCGGGGGGAGGGGAAGGGAAATCTTCCATGTGTTGGTTCATTCTACAAATGCCAATAACAGCTGGACCTGGATCAGGTGGAAGCCAGGAGCCAAGGACTTCATCTGGGCCTCCCACATGGGTGGCAGAGACCCAAGTATTTGAACCATCACCTGCTGCCACTGAGGGTGCACATTAGCAGGAAGACAGACTCAGAGACAGTGAAGGGAGTGAAACCCAGGAACTCTGTATGGGATAGAGTGGTACCTTAACCACTATGCCAATGCTCCATGTTTTGTTTTTAGGATGACTATTACTACGGCTTATTTGGATAAAGCAGTCACTAAGCCATCTGGAGCTTCTCTTCTAGAATAGCCCAGCCCTAATCATTACTTTAAGCTAAAAATGACAATTCCACTTATCTTGCTAGAGATTATTTCCGAGGTAGACACACGAACCAGTTTTGATGTCAGGGCAATCAGCTGGGAAACTTTGGGAATGGTGTTCTCCTTGTTAAGGGAGAGACATTGGGATCATTGGAATAACTCTTTTTTTGTTTTTCCTTAAGATTTCATTTATTTCGTTGAAAAGCAGTTACAGAGAGAAACGGAGAGGAGAGAGGGGAGAGGGGAGAGGGGGAGAATCTACCAAACACTGGTTCACTCTCTGAGTGGATGCCATAGCTAGGGCTGGCTCAGGCTGAAGCCAGGAGTTTCATCCAGGTTTCCCACATGGGTTCAGGACCCAAGTACTGGGGCCATCCTCTACTACTTTTGGGGAGGGGCAAGTCTTGCTGTCCTCGTGACAGCTCAAGGGAGGGGACACTTGGAACTGCTACCACCAGCTTGCCTGTGGTTAGATGACAAAGCACTGAACCAAAGCTCAGGGAACTCCTTTGACCACTTCGTCACAGAAAACAACACATTTCTTGGGTTTGGTTTCTGTCACTGAGAGCCCAAAGCGCCTCATGGATCTGAATGCACAACTTCTTCTCCTAGATTAAGTAATGCAAAAGCACTCCTGAGCCTCTCAAACTTAACACATTCTCTAGTGTCTTGAAGCCATTACAAGACCAAATGATGCAGGAGCCTCATGTGCTTGGAGGCCCAAATACTAATACTGAAAGGCATGCCTATGAGAAATCTGTAATAGCATTGACTGTCAAATGCTTGGTTTCTTTTAAGTTGATCTACTTTAATTCCAGTTATTTAATCTACATTTCTACACTGAGAATTATTGTAGAATGGCTCCCTTTGCCAATTCCTAGGAGTCCAGATGGTGCCTCAATCACTTAGCTTTGAGAACCACACTCCAGTGTAGCACTTTGGCAGAGGGGCACTTGGAGAATACTGATATATGATCCAGTTAAGATAGCTAACATGCCGAGTAAATACAAGTGTAACACTTTACACTGCCCACCATCTGACTTCAACTATGCCTTCAGAAATTCTTCGCAATTTCATTTGCTCCTCTGGTTAATTCTGCCCCAGCACTGAGACCTGATACCCTTGTGACACTGTGGAGCTATCGGAAGTGGCAGCTGATTTACCAAACAGTAAACCCTCTCGAGCTGTGGGGCATGCTGCCAAAAGGCTGCCCAAGACCTACTTCTCCATTTTTAGTACACTACATGGGCTGGGTTTCTCCATGCAATGCTTGAAAGTGAATGTGCAGCAACAGCGTCGTGGCTTTTCAAAGCTTTCATATGTATATATGGTCTATTTATTTGAATGACAGAGTTACAGAGAAAGAGAGAGAATTAAGATGATCTACAGAAGTTGTTGACTTATCTTAGAAGTAAGGAAACTCCAGATTTGGACTCTGTTCCTCTAGGATACATCACTTTCTAGAAGCATTTTTGGATAAAACCTGTCTTCCTACACTGTTTGTGTATCAGTTGGTGTCGTTCTCTGGCCATTTCTTACACATTTTTTTTTTTTCTTGGATGCAGTTAGATTGTAAACTCTTCTAGGTCAGAGAAAATAGCTGTTTTCTCTGCAGCACTGAGTATGTAAGTATTGATAAAATTATTAATAAAAAACCGTGTGATGATGAATCAATTATAATGGTCTTATTCAATGTACTGGAACACATTACAGAATAGGTTTCACATAAGTAGGGGAGAGTGTTTCCATAGTTTGCACATAGTAGCACTTGATAAAGATTTACTGCATGAATAAATTCCATTTATAGAACATGGAATTACGGAATTGGAAGGGACGTCAAAGAAATCACTACCCAGCACTCTTTTTAAAAGCAAATTACCCCAGACTGATGAAAATCAATCTAGTTTTTAAAAGACCACAAACCCGCACAGTGACTCATTCCAACATTCTGAAGGCCTCACTCTTAGGACATTTTCTTTATATCCTATCCTGCATGGTGGGGAAATTGATGACACAATTTCATTCAGGCACACAAAAAACGTGTGATTTTTCCAAGGTGAGGAAAAGAAAAAGTGGGAGAAAAACAGAGCGGGTGAGAAGTTCCAGACAGAAGACCAGCTGCTGATGCTGCAGTACTTTTTCTTCTTCTTCTTCTTCTTTTTTTTTTTGGTCAGATATTTATTTTGCGTAGTGAATGTCTTTTTTCCTCAAGGACAGGGAAACATGGCCTAGCCATAGAGAGGTTAGTGAAAGGTTTTTGTTTTATAATGCACTGAAATTATTTCCTTATGGTTAAAGAAACACAGGCTGTTCTTCAGCTTTAAAAAAAAATGAGAGCATGTGTAACTGTGCAGAGAAGAATACTTAGGTTTTGTAATTTCCTTTGGAAAAAAGTTATAACTTTCCCTGGATGAATACAGTAGCTTTATATAAAAGATTATCAACCAGAATATGTAGGCCTGGAAATTTTAGCCCCATTGACTTCCACTTTCTGGATGAAGGCCAAATGCAAATATCTTCCTTATGGGTTAAGGAAGCATAATCTGCACTCTTTCTTTTAGCTATGTAAATGTAGGCATTGTTTTTATTATAGCAGCCATATTCTATTTTATGCTCAGTGTTAGGACTCTGAATAGAACTTAAGATACATTTATTTTTTAGGTACATACTAGCTAGCCCTTTATTTCTTCTGGAAAACGAACAGTTCAGCTAGTATGGAAAAGGCATGGTCTGTGCTTTCTGTAGACTATATGGCTTAATAACCTCAGGCGCTACTTACTCTTTCTCCTTTGGGACCAGCAGGGCCATGGGGTCCCACAGGACCATCTATACCCTAAAAAAAAAAAAAAAGATAAAAATAAGAAAATAGGGGACACATCACAAGGGCTGCAAGAAAAGCAGTTACAATTTATCCTGGACTTTTCCTGGGTGGTTGATGCCTTAGGATGTCAGTAAAACAACTCATCTTTCATCTTTCAAAGTGCTTTATACTCAATTCTTACAGGCCAGTGGTTTTCAAGAAACTCATGCAAAAAGGATGAATTATACAGCTGCACGTTCAATGTCGGGTACACACAAAAAGCCATATATATTTAATTATATATTTCCTCCTGACTAAATGGAACATCTTCACTTTGCTGTTTTCCACCTTGCCATCATCTCTTCCACGAGCCCCCCGCCCCTTCGCCCCCCACTAGCCGCCAGTCTCAGCCAGGCATGCCCTGAAGCCTGTTTTCAGCTGTTTAAGAGGCTTGAAGAGTTAGACAAGCAGGGAAGAAATGAGAACAGTGCCTAACTGTTCAAACCAAACTTTCTGTGGCTCTGCTGGGAGCAGCAGGGGCTTACAGGGAAGGAATTACTCTCGTCGGTTCTGCTGCAGTGGCTGAAGGCACTGGGTCTGCAACTGGCAAACCAGGCAGCCGTGATGATTTAATGGCATAATAGCCTCCTGGCCGCCTGGTTAGTTCAGGAGTAGGATTTCTGTGGTAAAGGAGGTAACATTTGAATGAATGCAGGAATACTGAAATCCAGTGAAAATAATGATTGCCTGAAGCAGGCTTTCAGAATGGAAAAGCATGGGATTTCCTTCAAATACTTAAAACTGTAGCAAGGACTTCAAGTCTACATGTTCATTTTTCAGCAAGACTGCGCTTGGACTTGCCAAGAATTTATTACCATATTTGCAAATGTAGTAACTACTTCAGTACAATTCAGTACTACTTTTTTTTTTTCCTGCAGTATTCCCATTTTTGTTCTCTTCCTCTGATTTATTCTATGAGAGCCTTGTAATATGAAAGGATTCAGAGTTGTACTCTAACGTTGGTGAATTTTCATTATTGTGTCTAATCTTTTTCTTATTGCTTGAACTGAAAATTTACTTTCAGAAGACTTCTAAAGACTAAGTATCTGGGGCTGAAATTTGGGGGATGGCACTGTTAGGAACCAAGGAAAAGACACAAAATAACAGGGGTTGGACAAATTCTTTCTATGAACAGAGATTTGAAGGTTAGTCGCACGGAAGAAGTTACATTTGTAACATGGACATGAACCTAGGAGGAAAATCAAGTCACAAAAAATTCACATTATCTGAGTGTCCTCAGAGGGCCGCTCTCATGGAGTGACAGGCAATGGGCAATGTTCGTTGGTTATAGAAAAATCTGCCTGGGGTTCTGACAATGAGTCCAATTAGGCCAGTTTCACATCTCACCTAGCAAATTATCCCGGTTGAACTCTGGCTTCAGAAAGCTAGTCTTCACCCAGCTTTAACCCATTCTCTGACTACCTTTCCCCTTCCTGCCACCATCTTTGTCTCCCTTCCCCCAGCCTCCTGCCCTGCGTCCCTCCCTCATCATTGATGAGAGCAGATGGAGTGCAGGGGTCTGCCCTGAGGCCCACAATCCGTAGCTGCACAACACATCAGAGCACGACGAGGGACGGACTCACCCGGGATCCTGGCTTTCCGTCTAAGCCAGATGCTCCCTGCGTGATTGGGTTGGTGGCAGGGTTGGTGGGTATCACACGAATGACAAGAACAGAGATTAGTATGAGGAACTGATGAACAAATGTAACGCTTCAAACAACATAATACAAGGCCACAGGGTTCTGCGATGGAAATCACATTGCTACAAATTGTTAGTTAAAAAAAAAATAAACAGAAACATGACAATAAAGACCCCAGAGATGATGGCATTTTAAAGATATTTCTGTACAACAGAATCGTGTTAAGAAATTGAGTTAATAGTTTTATAGAGTAGGCTACAGAGTAGTTATTGGCAATAGATTCCTATTTTATTTCTTTCTGAATTCATTTTCTGAAGACTAGTATTTACAACATATTTCTTTAGGTAAGATAAAATAAGGAAATCTTATAAAACAGGACTCATTATAATAACCAACCAAGTTTGGGCCAGTGCTGTGCTACAGTGGATAAAGCTACTGCCTGCACTGCCAGCATCCCATATGGGTGCTGGTTTGAGTCCTGGCTGCTCCACTTCTGATCCAGCGCTCTGCTATGGCCTGGGAAAGCTGAAGATGGCCCAAATGCTTGGGACCCTGCTCCCATGTGGGAGACCTGGAAAAAGCTCCTGGCTCCTGGCTTTGTATTGAACCAGCTCCAGCTGTTGTGGCCATTTGGGGAATGAACCAGTAGATGGAGAACCTCTCTCTCTGCAACTCTGCCTTTCAAATAAAAAAAGATTTATATAAAAAAATTTACCAAGTTCATCATTTCAGAGAAATAAAAGAAGGGCTCAGTAACACTTGTTAACCTAGTACTTGTTACTAATAATCACAAGGATTTTAACATGGTGGGTTTTAGTTCAACAGTAACCATTGTTTTCTAGGTTGCTCCGACAGTTCACAATAGTCACCACTAGAGGGACTTCTAGGAACAGGAGAAAGCCAGAACAGACGAGCTGGAAAAATCTAATATTGTTCACAAGCAATACACACTTTTCCTTACATTGAACTATAGGCTACATAAAATGTATGATGAAAAAATGGCATTCCAATGCTTATTTCAAGAATAAGCACTGTTACTTCTTTGATATGGCTTTTGTATATCACAGTGTTTATTTATTGTCCTTCAAAAATACTAATAGATCATGGAGTATTTAATAAGGAAAATTCACTGGCCCTACAAATGCTTTTGGCAAGATTGCAGAACTATTTCCCAATGTTATGCTTCAGATGTAGTTAATAATACAAAATGGAAGAAAAAATCTATTCCAGCTGCAAACTTTAGCAATGCTATACCATATACTTTTTGGATATTTTTAGTTTTTATTTTAAAATTCCCTCAGTGTAATTACATTATGATCCATAATATAACTGCAAATTATATCTTTAGTTAGCAAAAATTACACTAAAATATGTATTGTTATTTGTTTAATGCTAGCACAGGTGGAACTTTTGGCTAAATGTTGCATAAAAATGATCAATATCCCTATAAATATGAAGTTAGAGCAAACTTTAAAGAAATCAGATTTGAGAGTTTAAGTAAAAGAGAAAATCCAAACTGTCTTATGCCTTTTGATATTTTTTTAGTTACCATTACTATAACATTTGAAAATAAATGGGGAAATGATAAAAATTATGACACTGATAATATTATATCTACCTAAAATGCTAAATTAAGACATACATATGTTATATACATTGTATGTTTATAGGTCATTCATCTAATTGGTATGATTTAACCTGTAGTCTAATACCAGGCTTACATCATTTTTTCAATAAACGCAAACTTATTGAACATTTGCTATGTGCCTGTAGGCACAGCCTATCCAATGGAACACCTTAGTAACTGAAGTACAATATTCATGAAAGAAATAACTGGCCTTCAACTTTTGTTTTCCTCTCACAATTCAAGTGTGTGTGTGTGTGTGTAAATGAATTTCTATTACTGACTTTATGTCATTTTACTAATATAATCTATAATGTTATTTACAGACTTGTTGGAATTCTACGACTTGACTAGATGACCTATTAAATCTTGAAATTAAAGTCTCAGACTCAACAACAATTTAAAGAAAATCTTTTTAGGAGTTATGGGAAGAAGGCTGGCATGAAGTATCTGAAGGGAAGGATAGCCTCCTTGTCATTAAGAGAAGAATTACTACACAATAATCACACAATACTCCCTCAATACAACCACTATTGCCACAGGAGCCCAAAACAGGGCATTTCCCAAACAAACAACATAGAACACATATATGATTGATTAATGTAGAGAACACTATGATTGATTAACATAAGGAGCCATAGCATTGACCTCACTCCATCAACAATGGCCAATTGCATACCTGCCACCAACAGAGGACTACAGTGTTTGGGATCCAGGGAGAAAAAACAATTGAGGGAGGATTTTAAACGGCACTCAATTATTACAGCATTTGGGAAAATCAGGAAATAATGAGTACAACACTTTTATAGAGGATGATGGGGGAAGAGAATTGACAGCCCTACAAGAAGAAGGTTGGCATGTATGTAATTGAAGAATGACAGGACATTTACAGCATTATTTGTTATGGGGTCTTCCTCTGACACAAGAGCAGACATTGGAGAAAACAAAATAGGCTGAGCTTGGCCCTAACATGATCTATTTGCTAATTACAGAAAGCTCAACAGTAAGAAAGCCACCAAGTAAACCAGAGTTCTAGGGTAGAAAGAAAAATCTGAGATTTGCACTGAAATGGAAAGTTTTCTTTACTTACTGGAAGACCAAGGGGTCCTCTGTCACCCTTTTGACCTGGTTCACCCTTCAATCCTTTAACACCATTTAACCCTGGTTCACCCTAAATGCAAAAGCAAATGCCAGTTTTGGTTGCTATTATGGGTGTTTAAACTGTGAGAGAAGATAGCCAGTCTTGGGAATGATCGCAGATTCCAGTTTTAGGTTAATAGCAGAGTGAGGCTAGATTTGTCTTGCATCATTTTAAATATCCATTAAAATTGTTTTTAAATTAATAAATGAAAATAGAAAATAATATTCTAAGAGGCAAAACTCTTAAGAAGCTGTGTTCCTTATCATCAAAACACATATGACTGAGTTCCTGAATAGTTGAGTTCTACCTCTAGGAAATTAGGGCTATACTACATGGCTCTGATCAAGCAGATCAAAGACAATGAAGGGGATACTGAAAGAGGTTCAGCAGGACAAAACCACTCTGCTGGAATGGAAAACTGGAATATGCAGGGTGTGTTAGAGACAGATATTTTAAGCCTTTAAGCATTTTCCCCAGGGAATGAAGAACTGTAGTAGCTAGTGTTTGAAGTAATGTCATTCAGCAAGTTCTCATTCCCTGACATTGCCAAGTCAGGTTCCTACATGGATTTTTCAATGGAGTTGACAAAAACTCTCTAGTCCCCAAAGAGAATATGAAGATCACAGAACTTAAATGTAGTTTTACTAACTGCCCAACGTTAGAACAAAGGAGGTATGAATTTAACTCAAGGTGACATTCAAAGGCCATCATAAGTGATGAATGCCGTTGACTCTGTGCTTTAAGGATCTAGGAATACAGTATACCTATTTGCCATCAGTATCAATGTGGCAGGGTTAGAGAAAGATCTGAGCTGTACACCTTCCCTTGTTAAGGCATACATATTAATTTGCCAAAAAATACCTTTAAAGTCTTGTGAAAAGATGATAATCGGACTCAAATTCCCAAAAGTCTTTCTGGATGGGGCTGGGAGAAGAGAGAGGATATGCATGCTCACACGGCAGATGAGATTTTTAACCTGGGCAGTCTCTACCCAATTTGCCTCATGATGAAAATCAGCATAGTGCTCACTAATACAGAGGTCCTCCCCTACCCCTACTGTGGCAGCACAGCAATGGGTGTCTTTAATAAGCTCCCAGGTGATGGAAATTCTGAGACACACTGAGCTAGACTCATCCATGGAACATGCTATATATTTAAGCTTTCAAAAGGGTCCGAAAACAGTGAACACTTTGGCATGACAAAGTGAGTTTTCAGGAATTTTGAAGATGGGCATTTGCAGTGCAGTCACTACAGGAAATCCAAATGTACATGGTAGCCCAGAAATCCACAGACTAGAGTCAATGTGATTCTAAAAAGGTCAAGGCCCAATAGTCAACTAAACTTAGACTCACTGCTTTGTGTGAATGTGCTCTCTCACTAAGTGCTCTTGGGATGATGAACAGGCAGTGCAGCCTTGGGGAGCTATGAAGTTCTTTTGTAGGCCTTTATGCATTGATGGGCATTATTTCAAAAGATAAGTTTAAAACAGTCAAACCCAGTGGCAAGAAGATCAAATTTCAAATCTGGACCTAAATTTGAGTCCTAGATCTGTCATTAGTTGCATAGTTTGGGGTAAATATCCTAAACTTTCAGGGCCTACAGCTTGTTATCTATGAAGTCAAGGAACTAGCCATGGGTAATCTATAAGATCTCCTCTATGACTTTAGTAGTAATTGAATTTCTGCAGGCAACATAAATCATTGCATTTTAGACATCAAAAGGATCTTGGGTATCTCCTGATTCAAAGGTGATGGCATATCTGAATCACTCTTGGAATTCAATAGTTTTGGTGGCTTCACTCACAGTCATTTTGAGTTGGCTGGTCTTTGGTGGCTCTTTAAGGTTCAAGGAGAAGCCAAGAGTAGGAAATATCAATTAAGTCTAGAGCAGGGAATGAGGGTCCAGAGAGGTTAAAAAACTACCAGAATTACAAAGCTGATAGATTAGTGCTCTCTTTTATGAGCCCTAGAACAGTACTGTCATCTCAAATTCTAATCCATGCTTCTGAGACACTATCCCTCATGGGCATTACCGGAAGGTAAGGTCTTCTAAGAGGTATAAAGAGCCAAAATACCATATTCTTGAGTGTTATTTGGTAACTGGGAATAGAAGCCTCAGGTTTCCTGAGTTAGACCAATAGTTGCTGTCACTCCTAGAGCTGGACTGGCCAGAAGGGAGCAGCCTCTGCAGAGGACAAGCTGGGCTGCTCTGAGCTTTCAGACGCCGACTTTGCATTTATGTTGTCTTCCCATCTCCTATCTTTTAAATGCAGTGACTCACTACTGAGGAGCTTTCAAGAGTCCTTGAACTTTCTCTGAAGTGGCCTTGAGGGTGAGTTACAGAACTTTCCTGTTCAGAACAAAGCATCAAAAAGCAGTTACAACTGAATTTTATTGAGTATCAATAACTGCTAGAATTTTGCTAAGTATTTTGTAATCAAACCTCATTAAATTATCACAGTATGAGCTAAATTACCCAATTGAATAACTGAAGGATCAGTCAATAATCTACTCAAGGTGACAGTGACAAAACTGAGATTAGAACATAGGTCCTCATCACATATGCTCCTTGGAAAAAGCAGCTTATCTTTCAGGGCTCATTTTGATCTCTAAGGATTCTCTCATCTACACAAAAGCAAATGCAAGCTTTTACAATGCAAGCTGCACTACTACTGATAAGGAGGGGCTACTCTCCATGGTAGTCTTTAAGCCCAAGGGGCATAGAATATATGTAAGTGACGTGATCTCCCTAGGATAGCACTCCTGATATTCCCTAGCCCAATTTAGACCAGTGGTCTCTGGGGAACACAAAATTAAGAAGCTGGACAGTCAAGGCATTTAACTGTAGTACTACTTACTGTATGGCAAGCAAGAAGTATCAATAACATCCAAATATACGATACAAAGACAAAGCATCTGGACTAGTCTCAGAGTCTCCCAGACTCACATCTAAATGGTTGATTTGAATGTATCATGATTAGTAATTTAAGAAATGGACATAGTGACGAGGACAAAGGCAAAAAGGAATAACTCATCTCCAGGTGATGTCAATTAAATTTGTTTTAACTCATTTTTAATTGTGAAATTTAAATGACTGGATGCTTAAAGGCTTAAAGATTATCAACATTAGTTGACAAATAATTAAGACAGGACACATGCTTCTGTCATGCTTTCCCATGATTAGCAAGGAAAAATCAATCAAACAAAAGGGAGTTGTTGGATTACCTTCGGTCCAGGAAGTCCATGGGGCCCCTGAAAATAGAGAACACAGTTTTGAATTAATAATTGATTCACTACTTCCCAGAAGTGAATATTATATCAAGTAATGAAAGATACACAAAACAAGAATCTTGTTGGAGCTACAGCTTGAGGAAGGTTAGTGAATGTTATTTATTATCTACCAAAAGCTCCTTCCAGCTCTTGGATGTCTCTGTTACTAGAAATTCATTAATAGTAATTCTGACTGCAAACTACCTGTGAGAGGGGGGGAAATCACCAGGATTATATGGAAGAAAAAAGGAAAAATATTTTGCACCCATATTACTCCTATTTCTCAAATGTCCATTAAAAATTTGGATAGAATATATGAGATGCTTCATAAGCTTAAATGGAAGACAGGTCATACTTAAGAGACAGAAATTTGCCAAAGAGAAGTCCTATACTTAAAGTACCAGGGAAGAGAGGACCTTTTCCATTAACTCCTCCAAACCCATGGTCTTGAAGAATCAAAATGAGACAGGAAGTAAGGAGATGACAGCCAAGTGTGGGATGCTGCAGCATCATTTATTTAAGATTAAGGAGGGCTAAGCATTATTATTTAGTTTGCATTTATTTTTACAAAGATACATTTTTAAAGGCTCTTGCAACAACTATTTATTAATTAACAGAACTAAGTCATAGTACATGCATGAATCAAAGTTAAAAAGAAAACCCAAAGTAGCAGGGTATAAAATCAATGCACAAAAATCAACAGCCTTTGTATACACAGACAATGCCATGGCTGAGGAAGAACTTCTAAGATCAATCCCATTCACAATAGCTACAAAAACAATCAAATACCTTGGAATAAACTTAACCGAGGACGTTAAAGATCTCTACGATGAAAATTACAAAACCTTAAAGAAAGAAATAGAAGAGGATACCAAGAAATGGAAAAATCTTCCATGCTCATGGATTGGAAGAATCAATATCATCAAAATGTCCATTCTCCCAAAAGCAATTTATAAATTCAATGCAATACCAATCAAGATACCGAAGACCTTCTTCTCAGATCTGGAAAAATTGGTGCTGAAATTTATATGGAGGCACAAGAGACCTCGAATAGCTAAAGCAATCTTGTACAACAAAAACAAAGCCGGAGGCATCACAATACCAGATTTCAGGGCATACTACAGGGCAGTTGTAATCAAAACAGCATGGTACTGGTACAGAAACAGATGGATAGACCAATGGAACAGAATTGAAACACCAGAAATCAACCCAAACATCTACAGCCAACTTATATTTGATCAAGGATCTAAAACCAATTCCTGGAGCAAGGACAGTCTATTCAATAAATGGTGCTGGGAAAACTGGATTTCCACGTGCAGAAGCATGAAGCAAGACCCCTACCTTATGCCTTACACAAAAATCCACTCAACATGGATTAAAGACCTAAATCTATGACCTGACACCATCAAGTTACTAGAGAACATTGGAGAAACCCTTCAAGATATTGGCACAGGCAAAGAGTTTCTGGAAAAGACCCGGGAGGCACAGGCAGTCAAAGCCAAAATCAACTATTGGGATTGCATCAAATTGAGAAGTTTCTGTACTGCAAAAGAAACAGTCAGGAGAGTGAAGAGACAACTGACAGAATGGGAAAAAATATTTGCAAACTATGCAACAGATAAAGGGTTAATAACCAGAATCTACAAAGAGATCAAGAAACTCCACAAAAACAAAACCAACAACCCACTTAAGAGATGGGCCAAGGACCTCAATAGACATTTTTCAAAAGAGGAAATCCAAATGGCCAACAGGCACATGAAAAAATAGTCAAGGTCATTAGTAATCAGGGAAATGCAAATCAAAAGCACAATGAGGTTTCACCTCACCCCAGTTAGAATGGCTCACATTCAGAAATCTACCAACAACAGATGCTGGCGAGGATGTGGGGAAAAAGGGACACTAACCCACTGTTGGTGGGAATGCAAACTGGTCAAGCCACTGTGGAAGTCAGTCTGGAGAGTCCTCAGAAACCTGAAGATAACCCTACTGTTCGACCCAGCCATCCCACTCCTTGGAATTTACCCAAAGGAATTTAAATTGGCAAACAAAAAAGCGGTCTGCAGCCTAATGTTTATTGCAGCTCAATTCACAATAGCTAAGACCTGGAACCGACCTAAATGCCCATCAACGGTAGACTGGATAAAGAAATTATGGGATATGTACTCTTTAGAATACTATACAGCAGTAAATCTAGAGACTGTCAAATTAACTGAAGACTACCACGTGCTTTAAACTTTTTAAGTGATTTAGATAAACAAGTTAGAGAGAGGAGTATTTAAATATCCATCAGTGCAATCATACAAGAGTGGGAAAAATTTTCATCGGCCAATGCCTGGATATTTGTCACATATGCCTACACTGGATCAATATTTCCCTTTAAATACATTGTGGATGGACACTTTCAGGAAATGACTTTATCAAGTATATTCTTATTTCATTTTATTGATGGGTTAACATTCCTTTAGACTAATTAATTTTCTGATAGCATTTTCTAAGTTAACCTTCTAACTTAAAGTATAGGGAGTAGCAAATAAAGCCAAAAGCATGTCATTTGCTTAATTCTAATGAGTTGTTTAGGTTTAGGAAAATAAGGGCAGTTGTAATTTGTTTTGATTTATAATTCAGAAATGGCGATTGGTAGGACATGGGTGACTGGGCTGCCCTTTGTGGCCTAGAAGATCACTCAAGTGACGCTCTTAGAGTGCAGCGGGAGGAAAGCATGAGCAAGTTTAATCTGCACCACTTTGGTTTACCCATGATGTGGCCCGACAGTCTGCCTCATTTGCTCCTCTCCTGCTTCTGCCAAAAGTGTTTGAAGCAGTGTGCCTTCCACGGTGTAGCCTTAATACGGCTATTCTTAATTCAACAGTTGGAGAATTGCACTTGTTTCAGGCTGCTGTCCTCACCACACATAAGTCCTAGGAGGACAGGACCATTGACTCTGCTGGTCACTGGGATGCCAGCAGCAGACACTGGGCCTGGCTTGATGAATCAACCCAAGTACCGCAACAGTGAACAGGAAAAGATCCAGCAATGTATGTCACCCGTGGAAGCTTCTACTTTTATCACAGTATTTTATAAACGTTTTTATTAAACATTTCATTAAGGGATATCGAGCCTCACGGGAATGGTTTGGAAACATTCTTTCGTGGCTCTGCTTATTAATCTTATTTTGCTACTAGTAGATGAGAGAGCCATCACTGGTAACAATAATTAGCCAGTGCTCACATTGTTAAGATTACAGGAAGGCTTGCCAGATCTGTCTGCCTTTCCTCAACTCTCCTGACACAAAACGACTCCATCTCCTTCCAACATATGTGCTTGGGGAAGTGATAGACAACACTGCGAGGTCTGTATATCTCCAAGCATCCTGGATTTTCTGTCTGTTCCACAGAGAGTAGTACAAAATACAAGCTGGCTGCTTCGAGGGAGGGGCTCATGTTTTCTCTAGTAGCATGCTCATAAATAAACAATTACATTTTGTAGAGATGGGAAACTTACCATGGGGCCGGGTGGGCCATGGGGACCTGGTGGGCCTGGTGGGCCTATGATCTGTGCGTCCAAACAATAAACATGGATTTAGCAGGCAGTTCAGCTTGAATCTTGTACTGGGGTTCTGCTAAGGCCATTAATTGTTGCAAAGAAAGAAGTATACTAGGAGAAGCAATGCATTTGATTCTCTAGCTTTAGAAATTCCTTTATGAGAATAAGAACACTATAAAAAATAGCTGCTCTACAAAAGCTAGTATAAATCAAAAGTACAATAAAAGAGAAGGAAGCAACTGATTACCAAGAAATGTTATAATGCCACAACCACTATTAAACTCTCACATATTTCACTGAGCATAAACAAAGCTCTGGAGAAGAAAAAAAATATGTTGTATACCCTTAAGCTCTACCCACAAGCCTTGTGGGAAAACTATTGATTTTCTCCTCTGGATTGGACAGTCCTCTGAAAAATTGCTTCTAACTTGGGCCTCTGAGACACTTTGTCTCTCATTGTACAAAGCCAACAGATATTTCTTCTACAGTTTGACAAACCAAGAGGTTTGTGGTCTTCTATTATTGATAAGCCATCTGGCACAGGTGGAACTGGGTAAATAATGAGCCCACGTCAGGGTTTTTCAGGAACCGTTCAGCCACCATGGACTTACAGAAGGACCCTGAGGACCAGGCAATCCGGAGTCTCCTTTTTCTCCTTTCATTCCATTGGCACCCTGCAAATAACCATTAAGCAGAGTTAGGCAGCTATGTGTGAGAGACAACTGAATTGTATTCTCAAACTCATCATGCTCTTGCAATTTTATAATATTATGCGTACGACATATAAAAGAAGGATTTATCTCCTTGCATTTTAGCCTAAAGCACCAAGCTTACTAAAATCCCTATGATTGTGGGTGATATGTGAAATAAAATATCAAGTAAATATGGGCTTCATTGGTTAAGGTTACATACTGTTAAAAAAAATTTTTTTTTTTTGACAGGCAGAGTGGACAGTGAGAGAGAGAGACAGAGAGAAAGGTCTTCCTTTTGCCGTTGGTTCACCCTCCAATGGCCGCCACGGCTGGCGCGCTGCGGCCGGAGCACCGCGCTGATCTGATGGCAGGAGCCAGGTGCTTATCCTGGTCTCCCATGGGGTGCAGGGCCCAAGTACTTGGGCCATCCTCCACTGCACTTCCCTGGCCACAGCAGAGAGCTGGCTTCGAAGAGGGGCAACCGGGACAGAATCCAGCGCCCTGACTGGGACTAGAACCCGGTGTGCCGGTGCCGCAAGGCGGAGGATTAGCCTATTGAGCCGCGGCGCTGGCCAATACTGTTAAGATATTGAGTTATGAATGTTGTGTCTTCTATGTGGGTGATATTAATTTTACATCTTTTATTTTAAATAGCAAACATAAGCCTTTTCATTTTCATTGACATTTATTAATATACTTCTTTGTTTAAAAGTTACTGAGTGTGTGTGTGTGTGTGTGTGTGAAATTTACTACATTTTCTATCTATATTTCCCTTTCCAAATTCTCAGTAAAAATTAGGGGAGTGAACCCAAAGCACAATTCTACAGTATCACACATATAGACAGAACACTTTACAGAGTGACTTTTCAATTGTTTTGTGTTTTTTGGTTTGGCCATTTTTTGTTGTGCCTTATTTAATAATGATGAGGTCCCACCACATTGTGTATACTAGATTACAGTGACCACTGTTTATTTTACTATCCACTGGTGAAAATAATTCAGGAAAATATGGAGGTTTACACATCATAATTAATTCATGTGATAACATGCTTTAAAATTTTAGTTCTGCAACTGAAGTGTTACACTTCAAACATTTCAAATTAAAGATATTATATGAACCACAAGATGCTACTACAGCTAATAATACGACTTTTTTTTTTTTTCCTGATTCTTGCATTTATCTGATTAAGGACACATCATCATCAGATGTTTGGCATAGCAGTTATGATGCTGCTTGGGACACCGGAATTCCTTATTGGAATGCCTAGGTTTTAGTCTTGGCTCTGCTTCTGATCCAGCTTCCTGCTAATGCACATTCTGGGAGGCAGCAGGTGATGGCTGAGGTTCTTGGGTCTCTGCCACCCACATGGGAGATCTGGATTGGGTTCCCAGTTCTTGGCGTGGTGCAGCTCTGACTGTTTCAGGAAGTTGGGGAGTGAGACAGCAGATGAGAGATCTCCCTTTCTCTCTCTCTGCCTTTCAAATAAATAAAATAAAATTGAAATAAAAGATTGTGAAAGTGGAAACATACCGGTAATCCTGGAAGTCCAATTCCTCCTTTTTCACCTGGCATACCTGGGTCGCCCATGTCTCCCTTTGAGCCTTTGAGTCCCTGAAAGTGACAAAGTTTACATGTGAGAAGCACATTGATCCTTGAACACTACATGTGAGGGGACACAGATATCTTACAGCCAATTTCTACATGGGATCAACACTGTTTCCCCATGTAACAGAATGAATTAAGTTATACTAGGTAATTTCAATACAAAAACAATGAATTTAGGTTTTTGACATAATTTATCCTGATTTCATATTTTTAGCTCAAACCTAATTCTATGTCATCAGTCCAAAAAACAAGTTAATGGATTAAATTCTCAGTCATTCAGTATATAATTCTGAACAAGGACCCAGTGTTATAACAACAAATATCTAAACAAATTTCTCCCATCTCCACCCACCATACTCCCTGCCTCACTTAAATGTAGGCAGAAGCTCCAGTAAGTATCAATTTTCAATGGTCTAGTCTACAATTCAACATTTATTGCAAATTAATGCTTCAAGTTATTTCCACTTCTTTACACTGTTCTTATGTTATTCTTAAGATATCTCCATGAGGTAAGCCAAAATGTTAATTTTATTGTCCTTTTACAGTGAGGAAATAAATATGTACTTTGTTCTTTAAAAATATGCATTATATAATACTAATACCAAAATTAATTTCTGTTAAGCGTTTTTATCCTAGGGAGCTCACTGTACTATGACCAGATGGTCCAAGCTTTAGGGGAGATGATGATAGTTATAACTGGAAAGGGTCCCTAGACTGCACCAATATGTTTATTTTTTCTATATTAAAAACTACTTAGGGACGGGAATATGTCTTTTATTTATAACCCTATTGATTTCATAGCACCCACAGGGTGAGTGGTTGGGTATCTGAATGCACAGGTGGATTAATTAGTCAGACCCTGGGTGATTTTAGGTATCTAGTGATGGGGAGAAGTACAATGTCCAACCCATTAGACTTAGGGACAAAGGAAGACTTTGTAAAGTGCTTAGAAATAAAATCCAGCTACTATATTTGTAGGGACCATGTAGTGTGTCATAATGCCTGTCAGATGAATTATTTATGATGACAAAGTATAATAGGGGTAATACATGTAAAAAGTTCTAATGTGACCTCTGATTGATACAGAAAATCCTTTAAAATATCTTTTTTATACATCTCTCTAGTATGATATGATTTAAACGTATAACTCTGATGTTCAAAAATAACTCTTCTCCTAAATTTAATTTTCTTACCTAATGCTCTATTTAGAGTATTACTAATACTCTAGAGATTACTGATACTCTAATTCTCCAACTGCAAGAATAACACTGATGGAGCTGGCACTGTGTTATAGCAGACAAAGCTACTACCTCAGACAGCAGCATCCCACACGGACACTGGTTTGTATCCTGGCTTCTCCAATCCAGCTCCCTGCTAATGCCCTAGGAACAGCAGTGGAGGATGATTCAAGTGCTTAGGACCCTGCTAACCCGTGTGAGAGACCCCAATGAATCTCTTGATTTATGGTTCTGGCCCAACACTGGCCATAGTGGCTATCTGGGTAGTAAACCAGTGGATGGAAGATCTCCTTCTGTCTTTCCCTCTCTCTAAGTCTGACTTTCAAAATAAATAAGTAACTCTTGTAAAGAAAGAATGCCACTGATTTCCTATGGCTTCCTGGATTTTAGTGTTTTTTGAGTAATAATGGAAACATAGAACATACTAAAGATCTTGAAAACTCTTTTGATTCTGAATTCTGTCCATATTATCCTAGTCAGATTCTTTTAGGGCTGTGGTTGCCAAACCAGGCTCACAAGCTAAATTCAGTAGAGAGATTGTGTGTGTGTGTGTGTGTGTGTGTGCATGCATATGTGTGTGTGTATATGTGTGTGTATTTTCAAACTGACATACAGTGATTGTTCCTATTTATGGGGTACAGGGTGACATTTTAATACATATCTATGATGTTTAAGGATCAGATCAGGGCAATTGTGGCATGCCCATCACCCCAGACAGTTATCATTTCTTTGTGTTGGGAAGTTAGAAATCCTCTGTACTAGCTATTTTAAAATACCTAACTGATTGTTGCCAGCCATAGTTATAGAACTGTGCTCCAGAATATTAGAAGTTACTCATCCTCTCCAACTGCAACTCTGTGCCCAAGAATTGTTTTCTGTATGGGTTGAATGTTTTTAATGATTTTTAAGAAGAGACAGTATGTGGCCTGCAGAGACTAATGCATTTACTATCTGGCTCTTTCTAGGAAAGTCTGCCAACCTCTGCTTTAGCGGAAACCCTCAGAAACTGCTGTACTGCACAGCTACAAGTGCTCTGCTTGTTCTTTCTTTTCAATGGGCCTAGGAAGTTAGGTGTAATCCTCCTTTTGGAAAAGAAAATATGGTAAAAATAACATATAAACTTCCAAGCAATATCTAATTTTGTAGTCACTGATTTTAAATCTTGTGATATTTACAAAATATCTGGCAAAAGAGTATTTTTACTAAATTGGTAAATATCTCAGAAATCTATTAAAACAAGTCTAATTACAGAAGAGTCATTGTTCATAAGTAGCATGCACAACAAAACTGTAGCACCACATAGCTTTATGTTTCTGCAAAGAAAAGCTATGTCTAGTTTCAAATCAATTGGTTTTTAGAGTTAATGTCTCTAGAATAGATGGTGGAAAAAAAGATGATGTCATATATCAATACTCATGCCTTATTTTGCTTTGAACCAATAATAAATGTAATGATCAATGATGATACTTTAATAATTGTATACATCTTTGAAAATTACCTGCTCTCCATCTACTCCTGGGATTCCTGGAGATCCCTGCTCTCCCTGTTAAGATAAAAAGTAATAGCTTGCCTCCATTTATCATTAGTAACATCTTATGCTAAGTAAAAAAAAAATGCTGGTTGGTTAAAAGTACAATCTGAGTTTCAGCAAATGTACCATAATCCAAGCATACCCTATCATAGCACTTCTCTAAACTAGGTGAATTAATAACCTTCCTTGAATATTATATATAATAACCCTGATATACAGTTATTACCCAGTGTTTTCATTTTGTCCCCCAAGTGAAATGCAGGCTAACAAAGAAACAGTAAATGAAAACTGATAGAGGTCATTTGGTGGCTGACCATATCCTACAGCAACAACCTGTATGCCTCAGTTCATTTTTTCCCCTACATACAAAATCTCTATGGTTTTTCTTATTTTCCAATTTCAGTAAAAAGCAAAATGTAACAGTCAACCTAAGAAAGGAGAAATGTAGAGTCTCCTGAATTTATTACAATATTTTAACTGGCACAGTTTGAAAAACATTCATAGTGACTGTGTGTGTGCTATTTCCAAAAAAAGCCCCACTGAAGGATATAATAAATCAGATAATATCTTAATCCACATAAAATTACTTTTGGATCAATTCAATTTCCTATACTATGTTAGGAATGAACTAAAATTTACTATTCATAATATGATTTATTAAAACTTTTGACAAACTCAAAATACACAGATTTATGTTTGTTCTTTTTAAAGCTGAATATGGTCTATTAAAAACAAATTTAAACAATATGCTAGAGAGGTATTCAAACAGCACATGTTTGGTTATCTTTCAGCTTTAAAAGGTACTGAACAAGCAAGTTCCTTGAAAGGCAAGATATTGTATCAGTGAGTCATTTGTAGGAATCCCATTACAAATACTTGATTCCCACACTATGTAATTTTGTAAAAACAGCTTTTCTATATGTGAATGGCTTGCCTTAGAGACAGATTTCCAAGGATTCAGACTGTATTTTCTAGAAAAGCTTGTTTGGTGATGTTATAAACCACAGTATTAAAATGGCTAGAGCCCCTATCCCTGGTAAAAACTTTAAGAGCTATGAGCCACAGCATGAAATTTGAGCTTTCCAATGTTTAAAGAAGGCATGATCTTGTGGTTTCAAACACATGAATTTAAAAAAGGGAAAAAAAAGTTCTTTCTTATTTCAGATTTCCTGCTCTTTGTGGTAGCAGCAAAGTTTATTTAGCCACAAACAAGTCTGCTGAGGTTGGATGCACCTGGCTAAACCCTAGTTTCATTTGGAGTCTGAATACTTGTCAGCACTCTGGGTCCAATAATCATTGCTTCACTAAACTTTTAGTTTTAAAATGTGACTCACACATGTTTAAAAGAAAAACATAATTCATGAGTTATTCATTTATCCATCACCTCTCAAATGTGGTTTCTAAGTTATTTGTTGTATAAGAAACCAAAAAATTCTTAAAGATGTATTTGATAAAGAAAAGAGAAATATTAATGGAATAGGTTCTCATTGAGTCTGAGACTGAGTCTGGACATGAGAATGTGTTCTACACCTGCCTTAGACTCTGTTTTGCTGACTTGTTCACAGCCACTTCCCACCTCAATTACTTCAGCCTTCTTAAGAAGAGATCATGGGAATCTCTATATCTAACATAAGGTCTCAAATACAGGACCACTGTAGAGTAGGGATGGTAGTATAACGGGAAGGGTGGCAAGGGTAAGAGGAAAAGGACAATGATCAGCCCCTAACAATCTCCAATGTCCTTTCACTGCCCACAAGTTGGAGTTCAAATTCTTCTAAAGCCTTTCCCGTGGTCTGAGAGCCAATGTGTCAAGTCCATCATCTCTCTGGGCTTCAGCCTCTACGTTCATAAAGTGGGAGTAATAACTGTACTGATCTCATAAGGTTGTCATGAGAGTTCAATGAGGGGGCTGGTCATTACTTGTCATCTGGCAAATTTCTCCATGACTTTCTCTTTCAAATCAAAGTTACCCTTGATTCCCAAGACTTAACGGGGCTTTCCCATAATACATGTTCTTAATCAAAGCTCTTATTCCAAATGTGCTTAATCATGTACTCTTTTAATAATTATGCCTTATTTGTCTATTTGCTTACCTATACTGTAAACTTCTTGTTGAAATCATTTACTGGTATCCCTATTAGATTGTAGCTCTTATCATAGAATAGAGGTTCAACAATTACTCATTGAATAATTGCTTTTGTAAATAAATGAACAGCAAATAGGGCTGGCATTAGGGCACATCAGGTTAAGCCACTACTGTCACACATACATATTGCAGTGTAAGTTAGAGTCTGGAATGTTCTGTTTCAGACCCAGCTCCTTGTTAATGAGCCTTGGAAGGCAGTGGATGATGGCTCAAGTACTTGGGCCCCTGACACCCAGGTGGGAGACCCAGATGGAGTTCCTGGAGCAGAATTGGCTGTTGTGGCCCTTTGGGGAGTGAATCAGTGGAGGGAAACCTCTCTAAGTCTCTTCCTCTCTGCTTTTCAAATATATAAAGGAAGGAAGGAAGGAATCAAGTGAATAGCAACTGACTTGTAAAATAAGGGGGGATGTGGGCTTCAGTGATGTACCTTTTTTAGCTAGGGAGTCCCTTTTGCCTCTCAGGGTCAAGGGAAGGGTGCTGTTTGGGCTTCTGCAGGTCTTTGGCTTATAGAAAAATATTCTAGGAGCTTTTGAAGTTTGCAGGGAATGTCATACATTTAGTTTTGGAGACTTTGTTGTTGTCCTGAAGACTTAGGTGAAGAGAAAAGCAAGAAGCTTAGACCTTTGTGTGACTCTACACAAAGGAACAAGGAATCTGCAGATGTCCATCTAAGTTGCCTAGTCCAGCTCACCAAAGTATTAAAAAACAGCGATCCAAGCAGCCTTACCCACCAGGAATCAAGAACAAGTTTTGTGTTACATCTCTTAGGGACCAGAATGTGGTAGGGAAATAGAAAATTAAAATCTCCAAATCATACATTAATGCCATGTGTTAAAATATAATTAATATAATAAATTAAATCTCTTTGAAATTAGGATCAATGTTCTAAATACATCCCACAGAGCCAAGAGCCTCAGTAATATTTTATATGCTTTTATATAATCAAAAATTCTTCTATATACTAGGTTTCCTTATATGAAAAAAGTACAAAACCTGCCCTGTGTCTGTGTGTGTGTGTGTGTGCATGCAATAGACTTAGTAAGTAAACTGCCTCAAGAAACATAAACAAAAGATGAATTTTGAAACCACTTGACTCTTCTACAAGAATTCAATGACGAAAGTCATATTTCAACACGTGTAGCTCAGTACTGAAAAGCCAGAATCACTGGCCATGTGTTAATTGATCAAACATGGTTGAATGACTCAGTTGACTTTGCAGGGAAATAGCTGACACCATCAACAAATTTTATATGTAATCCGGAATTCCAGGTTTCCTCTGCTTGTGGCTGGTATGTTTTACCATATACTTAATGCAAGAATGTCTGACCCTATATAATAAAGAGATCACTTACCAACAAGACTCAAAAAGGATTCCCAAATAGTAATTTATGAATGCATCTTGTTAAGCTTTCCTTGTTCTTTTATTACAAAAGAATTGGAAAAAAAAAGATCTTTCTTAGTGTCACAGTAAATTTCCTTCAATCCTCTTGTTTGTTTCCTCTTTTTTGTTATACCACATTTAGCGTTTCTTTATCACTTCTATAGGACTTGCTTTTTGCTTAATACTCTATTTTTCTCAGTGTCCTTGTCTAAATTTAATGTCATTGGTATTTTCTTTTTTTTCATAATTTTCTTCCTTCCTACTTATCCCTCTTCTGTTAGCCCAGACCTCAATTTCTGTTCTTCATTGCCTGAAGCAATATTGCTGATCAGCATCATCATCGTTTTGCTAGGGTAATTTTCAAGAATACATATACTCAATATGGGCTTCTTTGCACCATGTATGTAAATAGAAACAGGTAACTGAGGAGTAACCTTTGGCCCTTGTAGTCCTTGAGGTCCTGGAGGTCCAGGGGGGCCCTAAATCAAGAAAAGACAGTTTTAAAAAGTAGCAAGCATAGGTATTAAAATTCATGCTCTTAAACAAGAAACACACTATACATCTTAGTATTTTTATCATAATCAACTATCTTCCAATATGGATTTGCAATGGGGAAAATGTCATAATTATAACATAATTATGAAACTATGTACTTACATGCAATAAACATGTTAGGTCAACATAACATTGAACATGCTTTTTGGGCTGATTCTGTAAGACAATGTAAAGTAGCTGCTGTTCCCCACATTCATATTCTTGTGATGAATTAGTTTTCTAATGTGAACCTGTGTTTTTAGAAACACTGCCTGTCTTTCTAAAGACTTTGATTTCCAAATTCCTATAGAACAAAACCATATTATCAAACTAAGGAAGACAACTTCAAAGAAAATTAACAGTGACTTTCTTTTTCGACTTTTTTTTCACTTAACAGACAGTGATTCAACTGGGGCAAATGTTGTAAAAGGTTATTAATATTAGGAAACATAAAATGAAGTGTCAGATAGATAAAAACAACTGCTACATTAGTACCACTTTCACTGGCATGCATCAAGACTGAACACAGGGCAACGAACCACAGAAATCATGCAATAGGAATTACCGTGACAGTTAAGGTGGTAATCCTCTGTTGGGAAAAGGCATCAACAAAGACAGAGTTACCTATTTTGTGTGTCAAAGTGTAATACATTTCTGAGAAAAATCAACTTTTTGAATATGTTTTGGCAAGTCTGACATCTTACGAGGAACTGACAAGATACTGAGACTTTCTTATCATATCTTCAATATAGTTGTAAAGTCTTTTCAAAAATTATTTTTAGAATTTTAAGAAACCCATGGATGAAGAAAAGAATGCTAAAATTTTATTTCATGGGGCTGGTGCTGTGGTATGGAAGGCACACACTGGCATTGAAGGCAGTGGAAGATGGCCCAAATCCATGGGCTGCTGCACCCAAATGGGAGACCCAGAAGAAGTTCCTGGCTCCTGGCTTCGGATCAGCTCAGCTCTGGCCACTGTGGCCATTTGGGGAGTGAACCAGCAGATGGAAGATCTCTCCCTGATTCTGTCTTTCAAATAATAAATAAATAGAAATTTTAAAACATTTCATTTCACCTGATTTAAAAAATTATTTTGTAGTATACAATAGTGATTTGTCTGAATAATTATGAACCAAGAAACTTTGCTATTGACAAAAGTTCATTCTGGAGAGAATTTTGATTAGAGAAAAATGAAATTCCCAGTTGTACATTGTTTCTCTTTTGGTCTGTAACACATTAACACTATAGTTAATTTTTGGAGGTATGTTTTCCATGACTAGAGATATTAGTTGACATAAAAACAATCTAGTTTCTTAAGGTGCTAGAGAACTGGAATGAAATATACACTCTTAAAGGATGGGTCTCTAAAAACATGAGCCCTCACAATGAGTTATGTTTATCTATTAATATTTTCTAGTTTAGATCTTGTGCTAAAAGTTCTAGTGGGCCCATACCACTTTACGAAACCATAGAGGGGAGAATGCTTTCCATTAGGGACTCTGGTCATTGAGAAACATTATACAATTAGATGTAAACTTAGGGACACCAGCTTCACACCACCCTTTGGTTTCTACTACTGCACTCCAATCTCTGATTCAAGTGGTGGTTGCTGTTTTTTATTTTTGTTAATAATCCTAACATTATCTCACTTCAAGATCTGAGTCTCTAGGGACATAGTGTCTTTATTCCTTAGAAGACAATATAGGAAGGCATGTGTAAAAATAGTTAAGGTTTGCATTCTGTGACAAAGCCAGTTATGGTCATTTTGATTTCAGTAACAATACAGTAGGGGGAAAAAAAATCAGTGTTTTGAAGACACAAGGCAAAGTGGCCACAAACTGAGGGCAAGGTTATATAGAAAAAATAAAGGCCTAGATTTTATAACATTTTAAATCTGTGTAAGTGTAACATAAGGTGTCACTTACTTTGCTTTTAAGGGATTTGCCTAGAGCAAGAATTAGATTTAAAACTAAGACAAAGCTACTCTTTTACTCCTTTTACTGCAAACGAGTCATTTAAATAAAGCTATTAGAAAAGTATAGAGTAAAATTATTTGTCAGTGCCTCCCAATTACATATTACATTTTAAACTAGAAAGGAGGCTCATAAAACCTTGGAAAGGTAAGGGGGTTTAAAATTGGAACTGAGATTTTCCACTATTTGTCATATGCGGATTCATCCCATCCTTACTACTCTGAACAGAAGGTTGGTTCTCTTAAATTTCAGGATCACAATATGTTTTATCATGAGTTGCTTAATAAAAGAATATTATTTGTAACTAAACTAACTGATGGAGTCTAAATAATTTTGTTAAATAAACTATATGCTTTTGAGACTTGAAAATTGTTCAGGGTTCCAGCCAATTAAAAGAACAAATGACAGAAAAATAAGCTAAGTTCACAGGAACATATGAATAGTTTTGACCATCATTTGGAAGCGCCAGTGCACAGACACACAGAGAAGTCCCAAAGACGTTGGCTTTCTTGGGATTTCTTGTATCTGTCTCCTCTGAGTTAAAGCTACAAAACTCAGCAAGGATCTGCCTTGAACTGCAGTAATGATTTCAAAACCAGAATTCTGGGTAGTGTTGGAGAAAGACATGCCATTTTCTAGTGAGACATGACAGAAATGGGAGGCATGAGCTGGACAACTGTAAACTGGGGGAAGCATAGCAGCCTGCTTCATAATTCACTTCCTGAGATGCTTACATGAATCTCTTCAGAACTAAAGGTTGTCTTCTCCATTTTGCATGAGTGATGTAGGCTTAGAGTCACCTGTGATTTATATTAGAGAACGGGTTTAGTTTAGATAGTGATGGGAATTTTTAAGAGCTTGAGTTAGGTTTCATTCTGAATTGTGGCAATACAACCTCCTTAAATAAAAATAAATAGTTTATAGCAATGTTTATATAAATATAAAATTTCAGTAGAGGCAATAGTTAAAATTTTATATTTCTAATGTATTATTATAACTGCAATATACTGCCCTTTAACTGGTTACCTTAGAGCTTTGTGGGAAGAATTTTAAAGGAGGCAATAATGAAATGAAGTCTGTAAAACTGTGAATATTCATCACTGGTTACAGAATTAAAGAATAAATGCCAATCACCTCAATTTAGTGGTTATCTAACTTAACTAATTCTATCAGGGACTCGATCCATTGGAATATCATGTTAGGAAAACCCATAAATAGTTTTGAAGTGAAAAAATTATTATAAACTGATTTCTAAGCACAACACATAGTTGCTCTAAGAGCCCACAACAATAATGAATATTTAAGTTGAGACATAAGCATGAACTAGTTGAGTATGGTGAATATTGACTGCTTTACAGTCAGAATGAGAAAGAGATTGGAAGGATATAACCTTTTATATCAAGATGCAGGTGTCAGGTTCTTTAAGAAGTGCAGGCACTCCTTTTTTTTTAGGCACATCTGTAAAAAGTGTTCAGGAGATCCTAACAGCAACCCTAAAAATAAGATATTTCATCGATCATTCCAATTACATCTTCATTTTTCAGATAAGATCAAGGAAGAACAGATACAGTAAATAATTCCTCCAAAATGATCCAGTTAGTTATCAGTAGGGAAAGAGTGAAGGAAATTTTTTTAATTGAAGATTTATTTGAAAGGGAGAGTTAGAGAGAGAGGGAGGGTGGGAGGGAGAGAAGGAGGGAAAGAGGGAGGGAGAGAGATACAGAGAGAGACAGAGAGACAGATTTTCCACCAACTGGTTCACTTCCCAAATGGCTGCAACAGCCAGAGCTGAGCTGGGTAGTGTTGGAGAAAGACATGCCATTTTCTATGAGACAGGAGCTTTTCTAATGAAGCCAAGATTCAGGAGCTTCTTCCAGGTCTTCCATATGGGTACAGAGGCCAAAGTATTGGGCCATCTTCCACTGCTTTCCCAGGTGCATTATTAGGGAACTGGATTGGAAGTAGAGCAGCTGGGACTCAAACCTGTGCACAGATAAGATGCTAGTGCCCAGATGGGATGCCTGTACTGCAGGTGGTGGCTTTACCTGCTACAACATAGTGCCGACCTCAGCAGATTTGTGTTTTAGGCTGCGGGTAGCTAGCCCCATATCAGACACTGTTTAACCTAAACAAGGCTTTAAAAGTACTTTCTCAGATCTCTGCGAGTGAGATCCCAGTGGAAAGAACAGGTCACCAAAGAAGGAGGTACCTTTCTCTGAAGGGAGGAGAGAACTTCCACTTTGACTATGGCCTTGTCTAAATATGATCAGAGTCGGCGAACTCAAAAGGCCTCCATAGCCTTGGTAACTCATGACAAGAGCCTAGGGTGATTACTGATGTCATAAACAAGAGTGTCAATTTGTTAAGTCAACAATAGGAGTCACTGTGCACTTACTCCTCATGTAGGATCTCTGTCCTTAATGTGCTGTACATTGTGAATTAATGCTATAACTAGTACTCAAACAGTATTTTTCACTTTGTGTTTCTGTGTGGGTGCAAACTGTTGAAATCTTTACTTAATATATACTAAATTGACCTTCTGTATATAATGAGAATTGAAAATGAATCTTGATGTGAATGGAAGGGGAGAGAGAGTGGGAGAGGGGAGGGTTGCGGGTGGGAGGGAAGTTATGGTGGAGGGGGAAAAGCCATTGTAATCCATAAGCTGTACTTTGGAAATTTATATTCATTAAATAAAAGTAAAAAAATAAAAGTACTTTCTCAATTTTTCAGAAAATGATTGATAATATTGGAGTATATCTTGACAGATAAGGGAGTGGATATTTCTTGAAGGTGATAGTAAGAATTATAGTGTCATTAGAAGTTTAAGGAAAATTTACAACAGTGCTAATAAATTAAGCTAAAAAAAGTTTCCTTGTTTTATAAGTAAGGGCTTTGAGAATGTGGTAGGTACACCGAAACTTTGTATGTTTCCCCCCATCCTTCCCTTTCCCATACACAGTAATCAATTTGTGGGGAAAAGAGAACAATTTAAAAAAACTGGTTCTACACCTTTCCAAGCAAATATGAGTGTGATTGTTTTTGAAAATCGGCTTTGGAGTGATAGACATGATGGATTATAAGGGCAAGGACATACAAAAGGAAGAAGGATTGGTCAAAGTGTTGTTGCCTTGTTAAGTATGAAGTAAACATGATGTAGATCATGTTGGGAATAAAGAGAATGGAGAATCTCAAGAGATACTTTGAGAAAGAAAAGACCAGTACCTGGTGAGATAGAATGATTGAAGGATAAGAACAGTTTCAAAATAGCTCTAAAATACCGATCTCAAAAAGTTGAAGATCCATGGTATCACAAACAGAAACTGATTAAGAAAGAGAACTGTTTCATTGGCAGGGAGGGTAACCTGTTTAATTGTCGGTAGCAGTGGAAGACAGTAAGGCAATGGTTCATTCACAGCATTCACGTTCACATTCAGAGTCACAGCTGGAGGCAAAGGCAGACCCAGAGATGAAAGGACTGGGAACCACAAGGTGGAAGAGGCAGTGATTGTACCAAGGGAAAATCAGATATGTGAGGATACTCACAATTAGGGCATGGACAAAGAAACTGGAAATACAGTGGATCTACCAGCAAGGAAAAAATGGGAGAAATGAAAGCATAATGTCAGACCAAAAGGAAAGGGTTTCAGAAGGAAAGTGGTTTGGTATGTCACAGAAAAGTCAAGGGCAGTCAGCAGAATGAATTTGTTGACCTCTGTGAGGGCAGTTACGACAGAAGGATGATAGACATATCTACAGGGAAGTCTAAACTGAAGAGGATGGATAACAAAATGGAGACAAGCCACACCGTCTAATTTTAACTTAATGGAAGGAAATAATTGGATTGTAGCAGTAAGCCCTTTCCAGAGGGCTTACCATGTTAAACACAGTCTTACGCATATAGCTATAGTATGTATTTAACTACTTACTTCTCACAATAACTCTATCAAATATATGTCACTATTATCCTCATGTACAGATGGAAAAACCGAGGCTCACAGAAGTGAAGCCGCACATTTTACAAGCAAGAGAGTGGAGATTAGAAACCAAGCAGTTCCAGCTCCAAAGTCACAGGGCTTTCAACTGCTTCACCAAGCTTCCTCTTCAAGCAAGGAATTACACAATGCTTAGACCCAATAAGGCTTAATATCTGAGTGTAGAAGAGAAATAAAAGGCGAGATTGAAAAATGCTATGAAATAAAATAAACTGGGGCAGAGATACGTGAATGAGTTTGGAGAACAGGTAGATGTCCTTCAAGCAGTGGCACCCTTTGAGATCAGAGGTGCATGGAAGCTCATATTGACATTTCAAGGGTGCGTCAGTGTGCCAGGGGAGGGAGCAGACCCTTACCTGTAAGGCTTCATGGAGGTTACCATTGTAGTCTATGATCTCGGTGGCTCCTTGATCCCCTTTTGGACCGGGTGGACCCTAGGACAAAAACCAACCAAGGGAAAAATGACAAGAGTTGGGTTACCATAGGGAGTGCCATACAAAAACAGAAACTGCAAGCTGCGGCTCGCTATATTAGGTCCCTGCTAAGGTCCGACTATAATTTATAATAAATAATTATGTTCAAATTTAGTTCTTATTTCAAAGAAGGCAAGCCACTTCTGATTTCTGAAATTATAACATGTAAACTAATTTGATATCATTCATAAAATTTTATTAGCTTTATCTGTATTTATTAAAACCCTCAGCTTTCTTTCACTCATCTATATCTCATAGATTGCTTCCTCATTCTTCAAGAAGATAAAACATTGTCCTGTAGGAAATGCTTGGCTTTCCCAACAGGAATAGAATCCCATGAAAATAAATCAAAGAGGGAACAAAAAGGAGAATACATAGGAGAGTACTTCAAACAGTTTTCAGAAAATTGAATTCAAAGATAAGTTTATGTGGGCATAAAAAACTTGAAAATCTTTGCATAATTTTTGAAAGAATTATTTGAAAGAGATGAGAGATGAGAGAGAGAGAGGGAGGGAGGGAGGTAGAGAGGGAGGAGAGGAGAAGAGGGAGGGGAGAGGGAGGGACGAGGGGAGAGGGAGAGAATGAGCATAAATGCCTATAATGGCTGGGGCTGGGCCAGGCTTAAGCAGGGAGCTGCAAACTCAATCTACATTTCCCACTGGGTAGCAGGGACTCGAGTACTTCAGCTGTCACCTGCTGCCTCCCAGGGTCTGTAAATTAGTAGGAAGCTGGAGTTGGGAGCATATGCCAGGAATCAAACCCATCCATTCTGATGTGAATTAACCACTAGGCCAAACACCACCTCCATGGTTTTCCATATATGATATATATTTCTACAATTTTTCAAAGATTTTGTATATATATGTGTGTGTGTGTGTGTGTATGTCTGCATGCATAAACACACACACGCATGCACACACATGCAAAGACATCTACTCTGCTTATTAGATCCGCTATGTAATTTCCATTAGTCAAATCCTAATTCCCTACCTTCAAAAAAACAGGCCCTGTGCATTTGGACTGCTACATTCGCTATAACTGGATTAATTGAAAAATGGAAAATTCTATTAGGCTGTGGGTTTGCTACTGTTCACTTAGCATAGGGAAAGTATACAGGGAGAGCTCCCTTAGGCCTTTGTCTCAGCGAAGCTTATTTGATGTGATAGAATCTCCAACTCACTGCTCCTGGTGACTAAAATAAAAAAGGAAGACTAGAGCAGCAGAAATAATTACAGTAATCGAATCCCAATGCTGTTATTGGGTATAGGCCTGGAACCTTGTGAGAAGCCACACGGATGCTACTTCCAATCTGGCTGGCTGGAGCAAAGGTTCAGATGAGACGTATACTCACTCTTGGGCCCAGAGCTCCAGAGTCCCCTTTGTCTCCATGGTCACCCTTTTATCAATGAAAAGAGAGAAAAAAGTTAATAGTAGTTCTAATGTTCTAGAAACCTGTCAAGTCCAAGGACGTGTTTATATCACACTGCAGCACTTTTAACATGATATGAACTTCTGAAACGGAGGTGAACATGCACTGCTACCAAAATGGCAAATTCTTTTCAAAGATGCGCTCGAAGGGAATGAAAGCTCTCATTTCAGACAGAGCACTTCGGAAGCATGACACAGTATATATGGCTACCTTCTCACGTTGTGCTACTGCAAAGGCAAAGCAGTTGGTTTCTACAGCACCCACAGTCAGCTTTCACCTTTCAGATTGAGCTGTGTTCTTCCTTTTATGTGAGGGGATTTGGGGCAAAGGGAAAAGCGCTGAACAGTTTGCTGTCTGTCCTCTGAGAAGAAAAGTGTAGATAATTGGGAGAGGGAAGAATTGGAGAGATCATTCCAGGGAGAACTAGGAAAGAAAGGTCACAGGCTGGGTCTCCCTCTGATGGGGATCTAAGGAAACCTTTATCTGCAGGCACAGGCATTTTAGCACTTAGATGGTGCTGAAGTGGACAGCAGTCAGCTGGGACAGGTTGGCAGGGGCAGGGGCAACCTAGTTCTTTGAATTTTTAAATGCAACATGAGAAATTTCTGAAGTTCCATTTATAGTATCATTATGCCACCTGTAGAGAAACCAGGAATAGCTAAACCCTCAAAACTCTCAGAAGTCTACACTGAAACTACAGAGAAGAGCTGTGAACCTGTGTAGATTTGAAGGTTCTTTTAAAAAACCTGCAAACTTATTGAGTCCTTTTCCTTTACGGAATTCAAGAGCTATTTTTAAGATTTATTTATTTATTTGAAACTCAGAGTTACAGAGAGGTTGTCCATCTACTGGTTCACTCCCCAGATGGCCGCAACAGCTGGATCTGCACCAATCCAAAGCCAGGAGCCAGGAGCCAGGAGATTCTTCTGGGTCTCCCATGTGGGTTCAGGGGCTCAAGGACTTGGGCCTTCTTCTACTGCTTTCACAGGGCATAGCAGAGAGCTGGATCAGAAGTGGAGTAGCTGGGACTTGAACCAGAGCCCACATGGGATTCCAGCACTGCAGTTAGAGGCCTCACCTCCCATGCCACAGCACCAGCCCCTCAAAAGCATTTTTATATGTGTTGTACATATTCCTAAAAGCTGAGCAAGGACCAATGACAGCAAGCAGGAAAAAGAATTTCAATTTTAACTTATTTTTAATTATAAGTCTTCCTACCCATATTATGCTTATTTATTACATTTGTTAGGAAGGGAAAACAAATATCACTGCTTTGTTTTCTTCATTTTATACCCATTTTCCATACTGTTAGCTAATGGCATTTAAAGTAACATGATTCTGCTAACAGCAAACATGCTATAGTAGATGTTATAAGGAGCAGGATAAAGGGAAAAACTGCAATTGCTGGTGAAATTTTAGTGCAACAGAGTCAGCTACTTAAAAACAAAGTATAATTTGAATATTTATTAGAAAGATAGCTAGGGAATAAAAGGTAAGATTATTCAATTTATAATTTAAGTACTTGATTTTTTTTTATGAAACAGGAAATAACCTCTCTTAAAGAAAAGTCTGAAGTCCAAGAATACACAGCAACAATATGAAACAGCTGATTGCCTTAAGGTATCATCCTAGAGGCAGGAATCAGCCCAACCCCAGTGCACGAAGGTGTTTAATCCACGACACGATCCTCTGAGAGAAAAGCCAAAAAGCACAGACCTTGAAATGGTTACTTGGCTACTGACCTTTGACCCCTTTGGACCTCTAGTTCCTGATTCACCTTGTTTTCCCTAATATAGGAGAAGATGAAGATGAAAGAGAGAAAATGACAGAGGAGATACGAACAGAAAAAAGAAATTAGTAGTGACTCAGAATAATGAAGAAAATGGAAACACTTTAACTGCCTCCATATATGGGTCCATCTAATGTTGGTTCTTAAAGCACTGTATGCAGCTATCGTTACCATACCAGTTCTTCATTCTCTGGTCTCCCCACCAACCCTCATTCCATTATTAATCTATGGACGGCCCTCCCACCAGGGGAGGGCAACTCATTGGCTGCAATGAAGAACTCATTGGCTGCAACAGTATGCGTCTACACAAATTTCCTTTTCATCAGAGAGTAAATAAGTTCCTGTGTTCTTAGGATGAGTTATTAAAATAAAGTGTGACCATATTAGTTTGCAGGCAGTTTAGATAAATAAAGATTGAACAGTCAAATAAATCCTTAACTCTAATATTTTCAAGACACCTTACTCTATAAGGTTATTATAAAAACGAACACAGCACTGATCAGCAGAAAATTTTCTCTATACATTTTGATATGAGAATGAGAATGTTACTATGACAGCCCCCTTCCTATATGTTTGAGTGTGCTATTAAATTTGTTCACTGAACAGGAGAGAGTAAATGGAGAAAGCTCAATTGTAAAATCCCTTTTGAAAGGAACAAATTAGTGTGCATTCTAACACATTATGTGTGATTTTGGCTCTTTTAATTCTTGTTGAGGAATTTTAGTTTAGTTTCATGTTCTAAAGCAAGAGGCACACATTTCCAAACCCAAGAACATCTTCTCAAGGCAGGAATAACTGACCTTGGGTCCAGGGGCTCCAGGCTCCCCTCGCTCACCTCTTCCAGGAGGCCCTGCCTCCCCACGTTCACCCTGTCACGAGTTGCAAAACAGGTAAATGGCCAAACAGATAAATGGCAACTGCCCCAGTTGGTCCCTGTAGATTAATCAGTGAATTGAATACAATCAAAGAAAGCAGAGTTACCATCTATTTATCATAGGTCTGCACCACATTAACCCCTTGACTAAAATTATCTCTTTAAAACTATTTGTGATAGTTGAGGTGTCAGCTTGACTGGATTAACAGATACCTAGATAGCTGGTAAAGCATTATTTCTGGGCTTGCCTACAAGGGTATTTCTGGAAGGGTTTGCCCTTGAACTGGTGGACTGAGTGAAGGAGGGCTGTCTTCAATGTGGGGACAACTGTCTGGTCCTTGTAAAACAGAAAGGCAGAGGAAAGGGGAATTAATCTCTCCTCTCCTCCCTCTCTCCCTCTTCTGTCTCTCTCCCTCCTCCCATCTCCTCTCCTGGAGTGGGAAACCTGTCTTCTGCCATCAGCAACCTCTCAGGTTCTTAGGCCTTTGGCCCTGGGCTGAGAGTTACAGCATCAACTGCCCAGGGTCTGAGGTTTCTGGACTTGGATCAAGCAAAGCTACTGGCCTTTCAGTGTTTCTGGCTTGCAGACAGCACATCACGGGACTGATCAGCCTCCATCACTGCTGGAGCCAATTCCCCTAATAAAGTCGTTCTTCTCTATCGGTGTGTATATATACGTAGTATATGACTAACACACAATTATTCAGCATTGTATTATCCTCCTCATTTTATAGATAAGGAAATGGTTTGGTAAGTGCCTGCCAGATAGCTGTGTTGGGAAGTAAAAAGACCTCAAAAGAGATTTGATGAGAGCCATGATTATACCTCCAGGCAGGAATGGCCCTCTGTTCTCATTCTGCAGCCTGGTTTTAAGCACTACTGGCAAGAAGCATGGCAAAGTGGTGAGGTCACGGGCTTTGTAATCCAACATCCTAGGTTTTCATTCTGGCCCTGTCATTTACCAGTTCTGTGTTTTGTGGCACATTAGTTACATACACCTCAGTTTTCTCTGCAAAATGGAGAAAACTAGTTGTGATCCCATAACTTGCATAGTATTAAGAATGATAGAAGGCATGGAGATATTACATTTTAAAAACATATTAATGGCTCTATATGAAGTCTAAGGTGCCAGTGATCCAGTCAGGCAGGCAAGATCCACATGAACAAAGTAGCTAAGACATAGAGTAACATAAGCCTATTTGTCACAGAGAGGAAACTCCACTGGCTTCTGCAGGCAGATTGGCTCCTCTGGAGGTGAGATTTGAGCCATGTCCTGAAGGATGGGTGAGGATTATTTGGTAATCACTGCTGTTGACATCCACACCATTGATGAACATGGAAACTGCACCAAATACTCCATAGGCATTATCCTACTTACTTCTCAGGACAAACAAGAAGGATGTGATGATCCAAATTCTACAGAGGACAAAGTCAAAGCTCAGAGAAGTAAAGTAACTTTCCCAAAGTCACAAAGCTTTTAAAGTGGGAGAGCTGAAATTAAAAACTTCCTAAATCTTCAATTTTGCATAAATATTTTGAAGTGTAAATCTTTTGCACATAGCTGATCATTTTCTTAGGACAAATTCCTAGCTGGGGAATTGCTGAGTCAAAAAGCACTAATATTTTCAAAGCTTGCCAAGGTGCCCTCCAGGAAGATGCTGCAATGAAGCTCCCTGAATGCAGAACAGAGAGCACCTGGCTTCCTGCATGGTAGGTAGAGTTTTTATAATCAAAGAGGTACAGAATTCAATCTGTGGGTGCCATGTTTATATGGAAGTGAGAGAGGTAGCCTCCTCCTTGAAGGAACTGGTTTATCTTGGAAAGGAGAAGAAAATAGGACTGGCATCTTGATGGGTGGTGTAGGGTTCTAAAGCCAAGGTCCTGATTTGTCGTATGCCCACTTTTGGTAGCTTTTGTGGTTTCATAAAGCATGTGGGAGAGATTACATCAATGGTTCAGAAGGACCCATAGGGTTTTAGCATCCACTGAGGAAGTTTTGAAAACAGAGAGAGGTTGGGAGAAAGGCAAGAGCCTTGAGTGAATATACAAGATGGAAAAAGTTGCTCCAGAAACTGAACAGCTTATTTCTTTTTTCTCCCCAATCCCACCATCACAGTAGAGTGGCACTGAAGGGCTTCTGTTGGTATTTGGAATTTTAGTGTTTTTAAAAATTTTTTTTTTGACAGGCAGAGTGGATAGTGAGAGAGAGAGACAGAGAGAAAGGTCTTCCTTTTGCCATTGGTTCACCCTTCAATGGCCTCCGTGGCCGGCGCACTGCGGCTGGCGCACCATGCTGATCTGATGGCAGGAGCCAGGTACTCATCCTGGTCTCCCATGGGGTGCAGGGCCCAAGCACTTGGGCCATCCTCCACTGCACTCCCTGGCCACAGCAGAGAGCTGGCCTGGAAGAGGGGCAACCAGGACAGAATCCGGCGCCCCGACCGGGACTAGAACCTGGTGTGTCGGTGCCGCTAGGTGGAGGATTAGCCTATTGAGCCGCGGCGCCGGCCTTTAAATGTTTTAATATGTTACTTTAGGAATTATAGAAATTACAGAAGAATTTAAAACTATATACTTATTTTAGGGAAAAAATAAAAATTCTTAAAAATCAGTTATCTGGAGTTTACTGCAGGAATAACAGCCTACATATCCTTACATTGAACTTCTTTTTATCACAATGCCACACAGTTTCATATCACGCTCTGATACTCTGTCATATACTTAAATATTATATAATAGAATATATGGTATTAAACCCATATTGGAACATAAGCTTTAGGGCAATATAAATTCACTTCCCATTCTCAAATACAGAAAACTATCTAATAAAAATTGATGAATTGATGAAAAATATTGTAAAGTATTCTAACTAAAGCTGCACTTCTGGGGCTGGTGCCGTGGCTCACTTGGTTAATCCTCCGCCTGCGGCGCCAACATCCCATATGGGTGCCGGGTTCTAGTCCTGGTTGTTCTTCTTCCAGTCCAACTTTCTGCTGTGGCCCGGGAAGGCAGTGGAAGATGGCCCAAGTGCTTGGTTACCTGTACCCGCATGGGGGACCAGGAGGAAGCGCCTGGCTCCTGGCTTCAGATCTGCATAGCTCTGGCTGTAACAGCCATTTGGGGACTGAACCAACAGAAGGAAGACCTTTCTCTCTGTCTCTCTCTCTCTCACTGTTTAACTCTATCTGTCAAAAAAAAAAAAAAAAAAAAGCTCCATTTCTTTAGAGTGATTTAGGGATTTAGGTCCCTCCCAGGTGCTACTGTAGACTTTTTATTTTATTTATTTTTTAAAAAAATTATTTTATTATTTGAAAGATGGAGTCACAGAGAGAGATAGAGACAGAGAGAGAGGTCTTCCATCTGCTGGTTCACTCCCCAGATGGCCGCAACGGCCAGCGCTAAGCCAATCTTAGCCAGGAGCCAGGAGCTTCCTCCCGGTCTCCCACGTGGGTGCAGGGGTCAAAGCAGTTGGGCATCTTCCACTGCCTTCCCAGGCCACAGCAGAGAGCTGGATTGGAAGAGGAGCAGCCTGGACCAGAACTGGCACCCATATGGGATGCTGGCACCTCAGGCCAGGGCTTTAACCTGCTGCGCCACAGTGCTGGCCCCTGCTGTAGACTTTCAGTCTCTCTGCTGTGCTGGGAGAAAAAATGCAATCTTAGTTTATTTTTCAAATTTGAATTTTGTAGTACAAATTCCAACTCTATAGAACTGGAAAAGAGTGGAGCTCAGCTGAAAGAGACTGTTAAATAATTGTGACTATTCCATTATGATACTGAACTCACATTGATATAGTCAATGTAGCTGATAAGTTACCTTCAAAATATTGTTAATAAATTTCCTATCCATATCTGTTTTTATGATAATTATTTTAGTAGGGGGTCAGAATAGTATGCATTATAAAAGAATCTAGTTGATAAAATCATGCTGTTCATTATAGCAATTAATGTTGATTCTATGGCTCTACATCTAGGTCTTTCTTTTTTTTGAAACTGAAGAATATTTTAAAATCAGTTCACTAAAGCAAAGATGTTTAGGGAGAACTCCACTTTATGCTGCCTGAGTCTCTTCTGAGTTCCCTCATGTAGCAAAGAAAATGCCACAAACATTCATACATGTCATTCCTGCCCGGTTTTGTCCTATAGGGACCAGCTCTGGCCCATCTTGTGCTCATCCGGGAGGCTGCCATCTTTCCTCACCTGGCTCTGATGCTGTGCACCTCAACAGATACAACCAGTCCTTATCTTAACAGGGAAAATCCACATTCTTTTGTGTACTCTCTCTTTTTATTCCAGGAAGATATTTCTCGTGTAAATCTGTTAAGGCTAAAACAGGCATTCCTCATACTTTGTTAATAAGCCCGACAGATCATTATGTGAAAACGAAATTTCTCAAGAAAGTAACAATTTTTCATGATGTGACTGAGTTTCAGTCCCCCTTAGGCCACACATAGTTTCCATTTACCAGGATTATAGTTAGTTTCACTTGACCTACGGAAATGAGGACTGTTTTGTGGGAACAGACCATGAACATATTTTTCTAACTCTTGGAAATCATCCCTGGCTTATTTCTGGTGAATGCAATACACATTGAGGCAAAGACTACAATGGTTTAAAAATGAAAGAATGTAGTTTGATGTAATTTTGCCCCTTCTTTGATTCACGAGTCTGTCATGGGTAAAGTTCCATCATCAGAGTTGCACCTTTTTATGTCTTACGGGATAGATAAAAAGTGAACCATAGGCCTGACTGTATCTGAAACATATTTCTCTGTATGGCAGCATATAGGGTTTGCTTTTAGGGCCCTCTCTAGGGTTGCCAAGTAGGAGAGTGTAAGCTGGTTTTCATTACAGGATATTTCTGCCGACAACATTCAGGGTGGATCCTTTTGGAATGAGGCACTTAGGGTTCTATATGACAGCTGTACTTGCCTTTGAAATCTAGGGGGTGCTGGGAACAGTAACAATGCTTGATTTACAAGTATATCCTAAAATTGTGGTGAGGGGTAGGGAGGTTAATGAGTTCTCTCTCTCCTTTTCAGAATTCCTTGATTTCCTATAACCAGCAGGCTAAAGCATCGAATCAATATGGGAGGAATTTGGGAACAAGTGGAGCAACTAACATATTCCCTCAACCTGTTGACTCACTGAAGACTTTCCGAAATAAACTTCCCATTGCTTTGTTTAATATGGAATTTTCATTAGAAGTATTAGTAATGGGTGAATTAAGTTTATACAGTTCTCTGTTAGGCAAAATATCTGGTCACATAAGTAATAGAGTTACCTCACATTTCTTTTTTAGGATTTGTATTTTTTTTTAATCTGAGAATCAGAGAGGGAGGGAGAATGAGGGAGAGTAATAGACCCTCATCTACTAGTTGATTCTCCTAATGCCCATGATAGGCAGAGCTGAGCTTGGCCAAGTCTAGGAGATGGAAACTCAATCCAAGTCTCCCACATGGATAGATGAAGAACAACTACCTGAGCCTTCAAGGCTGCTTAGGTCTATACCAGCAGGAAGCTGGAGTTAGGAGTTGCAGGCAAACAATGACCTAGGCAATCCAACACTGGATGTGGGTGTCCCAACGGGAGTTTCAACTGATAGGCAAATGCCTACCCAACCCCTCATTTCTTTCAACATAATGGACTAAACATATGTGACAAAAATTTCAGGAAGAAAGGAAGGAAAGAATACTCCACTTACTTTGGTTCCTGGTAACCCTGGTAAGCCTGGTTCCCCCTGAGGACCAATGAAACCTGGTTCTCCCTTTAAAAAGATGGGCATAAAAGATCATTACGCATTTGACAGTAAACAAATAAAGCTAAACTCGATTTCTTCTTTTATGGGGATTTAACTTCCTTGATCATATACAGCTTTCTTGCTGAGATCATAGCACTATTTTACAGTTATACTGCAATCTCATGAAAGGAAAAATCTCTCTCCTTACCATATCTCCAAAATCTTATCTACCCTACCTGGAGGAAACCCAATTGTGGCTTAATTTAAATGTGTGCATATATTATCAAAAATAATATAAAAAATTTGGTGTTGGTCCCTAAATCCTGGCACAGATTTCCTAAAACCTTTGGAATTTTCTGAGCCATAGGAGTGATAAAGAGCACCTTTTGTTACTCACAATCAGTCCATTTCAACCATATCTGAGCTTATACAAATGAGGTGTAAGCCTAGATATTTAGGAGATGCCTAGATAGTGTCAAGTTGTCAGAGCAAGCAACCATGTGATAAGGGATTTGGACATTCTGCCCCACCTGACCTCCAGGGAGTGGAAAGGGGCTGGAGACTGCATTCAATCACTAATGGCCAGTGGTTCAATCTATCATATCCATGTAATGGGACCTCCAAAAATCCCTGAACAAGTGGAGAGCTTCTTAGTTGATAAACACAAGTCTATGTGCTGGGAGAGTGGAATAGTTCAACTCCACAGGGACGGAGGTCCTTGTGCTCAGGCCTCTCTCAGACCTTACCCTGCATAGCTCTTCATGTGGCTTTTCATCCTTGTCCTTTACAGAAACCGTCATTGTAAGCAAAGCGTTTTCCTGAGTTCTGGGAGTCATTCTAGGAAATGACTAAATCTGATAGGTGGGGTTGAGAGAGCCCCTGAATTTGCAGTCAAGCTAGACAGTAGTACCTGCGAGGTGGTACTTGATAACTGCAACTGGTGACTGCAATGAGGGTAGTGTTGTGAGACTGAGCCCTTCAACCCATGCATCTAGCACTTACAAGGGTAGCTACAGTCATGACAGGATTGAGTTGTAGGATAACAAGTTCTTGTCAGAACCAGGGAGTTGTAGGACTGGTACTGGAAAAGATGCCATGTATTTGGTGTCAGAAAATACCTGAGACTGTGTTTATGTTATCTTGAATATGTATAAGGTGTTTTTTTCTTTTCTTTTTTAAAACTATTTGAACTCAAATATAAGAGTCTAACTACACAAAATCTGTGATGGAATTTTAAAGCTAACTCCAGAATGGCTCTGTTTCCACATTTCTTCCCCCCTTCCTTTGGATTATTTCTGGAGCAGCTGTTCACATTGTTTGATACCTTTAGTTTTTCCTAAGACAGCAAATATTTCAGCCTTTCTTTTTATAATACTTGGTATTGATCAGGAAGGTATAGAAAGGATGCTTTACAAGATGTGTTAAAATGTCATCAAATATTTTCAAACACGGACACTTTCAAAATATACCATATAAAACCTTGAGTATTGGGTGGAGAACAAAAAGATGTTACCACCATAAAACATAATATTGATATAGACTCAAATAGATTTATCTGCAATTTTGGTGTTCATGATTCAAATTTAAGAGGAAAAATGTTCAAGTCAGGGAATTAATGCTTCAGATTTACTGCTTGTGAACTCTCTATAACTCCCTACTGCACCTGTCATTATACCTAATGAAAAGGAGCGTCTGAACAAATAATTTGGGGTGGATCTTTAATGGTCTACAATGGAAATCTGAACTATATTCAGAGAAATCAATGATAACCATTCTACTCCTAGTAAAAGAGCTGAACTTATTTCATAACAAAAAATTACAATACATTTATTCAACAATGTATTTCCCCCAGTGAAATGATAGATACAAACATACTCTAGTTATACTTTCAAGAGAAATGTATTAAACTAAATGTGTATCATTAGTAATGACTTACTGTTATGAAAACATAATGCAAATTAATAGCTTGGAACTGTATAGATAGACAAAAACTCTTATATATCTTCAAGTAGAAATAAAATGACCTCATTGTTTAGCAAATCAATATGAAGCATACTAATAAAAGAGAAGAAACAAAGAGTAGATGCTGCAACAACACATTTCTTATTGAGGTTAGTATTTAGTTTAAAAACAATGAAGCATGCAGTTGCATAATTCATGAACAAATACAAATAAGAGTTTGTGGTTTTTTTCTCTCTCTCTTTTTTTAAATGACACCTATTAAATTCCCCTTAGTAAGCCTTTAGAAAATTCCCTTAAACAGAATGATTGGGGAAAATTTTTTGTTTCAAGATGAAAGTCAGATATATGTTTGACAGTGTCAACCATTTCAGCACTATTAATATTGGCTAATTTTAAAAGCTTTGAGAAGGATTAGTTACACCTGATCACACCAGTCTCAGAAAGCATCTACCATATATTTGTTAATTCTGCCACACTTACTACCATTTATTCAAGGAGAAAAATAGCATCCTTAGCATTAGAATCACAATTTTATGGTTATTTACCGCCAGAACTCTTGATCACGTCAGGGACACTATTTCTATCCTCTCAGTATCGTGGCAGGATGGAGAGGAGATGATTGCCCTCTTTGCTCTCTCAGGCTTGTTGGAATAATAAGACGCAAACATGTCTGCTGAGGGCCTTAAGCTACATGGGCTGTTTCTTACCTTCCCAAGCGCATACAAGAGGTTCTCAAAAGGACCTGTGAGGACTGCTGGGGATCCCTGCACCTTTCCAGGGAGTCCTTAAATTCAAACTATTTCCCTATTAGCACAAAGACATTATTTGCCTGTTCACTTTCATTCCCATATGAATACACAGAGTACCAAAAGTACAAAAAAAAAAAAAAATCCCAAACTGTATGATTTCAGATTCCACCTTGCCCTTAACCTCTGAGGACTATCGCTTGTAGAGTAATAGGTACCAAAGGATGTCAACCATTGTCTGAATGGGCTATCGGAATAATCTTCCCTTGTTCAATTACATCTCTGTATGAAGCTGGTTGTTCTTCCTACATTTCAACCAGAACAACAAATTGCAACAGAGTGAATGCGGCAGCAGATAGGAGGACCCAGCTGCTTTCCATTAAACCAGACATTAAAGAGATTTAGGGGAAAAATAGAACAATGTTGCTCTTCTTGCTAAATTCAGAACACATTTAAAACTTTTTTCAGTTTTAATTTCTAGTACAGAAATATCAATAGATATAACATCTAAACAAAAGTCCTTTCAATTTTTAAGAGTACAAAGGGGTTCTGAGACCAAAATGCTTGAGAACTGCTGGTAAAAAAAAATGAAGAATTGAGTTAAAGCCCAATTTTATAAGCTAATGTATGAAGGTACTGAATAATGGAAGATTCTTGCAGTGTCAAAGTGTGGTTTAGTTAAGACTTATAATAAGAAAATGTAAGCAAACCTCTTAGTGCTCTCCTTAGAATAAAGTGTTGATTAAATACTATATTTCCCTTTTATCTTCTAGTCTGAAAAATGTTAGCTATCATTCTTATTATTAAGATTTTATATTATGTGTGAGGTAGAGTTACTGAGAGAGGGAGAGACACTGGCTCACTCCAACAGCTGGAGCTGTGCTGATATGAAGCCAGGAGCCAGGAGTTTCTGCCAGGTCTCCCACACAGGTGCAGGGATCCAAGCACTTGGGCTACCCTCTACTGCTTTCCCAGGCCATAGCAGAAAAGGAGCATCTGGGACTTGAACTGGCACCCATATGGGATGCCAGTGCCACAGCTGGAGGCTTAGCCTACTACAGCACAGTGCCTGCCCCAGCTATCATTATTATTAGTAGTAACAGTATTACAATATCTCTGTACCCTAACTGGTAATATACAAAATGACATCCTGTCACCCTCAACCTGCCTGTGGTTAAGTCCTTGTAATGCTAAATTCTTCCTGTGATATATCATTATTTTACAAGACAATATCCATCTGCCAAAACATTTTCTTGGCAAATGGGTTTAAAGAGGGTTGAAACCAGAATTGCATAAGGTAGAGAAATGACAGTGTAAGAGTTTTCTTCCTATAGGGAAGGGAAAGAAAATGGTCAGAATTATTGAATTTCCCTAAATAAATGTAATCCTTTAATAAAAATTCTTGCCTCACTGAGAAAAATGAATGTTTAGTTTAAAAGTCTTAGAATCTCCCAAAATGTCTAAGAGAAGGACAGCATCAATCTATGGCTATATAAATACTTTCCTGTAATAAAAAATAAGCAAGTGGCTATTCTACTATGCTCATGATGCTTATTAGCTGGGATAGAGGAAAGAGACCAAATCAGTGGAGGAAGGTATAGGTCAGCAGCTGGAATATGATTCAAAGACAAAACACTTTGGGGATATTACCTTTGGATGCAGAATACACAAAAACGAGATCATGTAAGTTTCCAGGTTAACAAACAGGAGAAATAATGATACTGGGAAGTTTGATTGTCATAACTGTTTTATATAATCTCATATAAAAGGCTCATATAAAAGGCTGCTAAATTAAAAATTATTCACACGTATATGTTTGAGTGGAAAAAGTGAGAGTAGAAAGAGATGCAATAGAAGAAATTGGAATTTTAATGGAATTAAGTTCTTACACTACTTTTATTGAAGACAGAAATAAATCCAGAGAGTTTGTCCCTTTTAGATTTTTTACTAGGTTGTTACCTAAATTAGAATATCCAAATTATAATTTAATGAACACAGGGAGAGAGAGCTAAAAAGATAAGAGGGTGAGGAAGAATGAAGACTAACATCTTCAACTGAAAGATTCCTGCTCCTTTCCCTGTTACCACAACAATCAAGTCCAGATTTTGTGCTATTCTGCTTTTGCTTTTTTTTTTTTTTTCCACTGGTGCTGGAAATGCTCAACTACATGTACTCTCGGGACAACAAGATATAAACTATATATTATCTAACTCTTAAAATAAGGACGAGTTATGCTTTATCCCAAACCTGGGGACAACACATATGCCATACTCTATCAGAACCATTAGCACAATTTAAAATTTTAATCTCTAAAACATA